ATCCATGATAAAACTCTTTGCTGATGACACCAAATGGGTCGGAATGGAATTGGCAAGAAATAGCAGATGAACTTCAATGAACTGACAAATGCAAGTCTCTACACTTTGGTTTCAACAACACCCGCCATCAGTACCACATGATCTCAGATATAATCCAACACCATTCAAACAAGATTCTGAGGAGAGAGACCTAGGTATAATATTCCTAGACAATTTAGTACACATATTTCAACGAGCGTGAGAAAGGCTAACAGACTAGTCGGAGTGGTAAAAAGAACTTTTAAAAACATGAGACAGGAGATGCTAGTACCACTCTAAAAATCATTGATACGCCCTCATCTTGAGTGCGCAGTTACTGTTTGGCATCCAGTAAGTGAAAATGACAGTTGAAATTTGGCGACCAATGTGGACAAGTTTTGTTACATAACTTCTTAACTAATGCAGAAATCAAGACAATTCAATCGCCTTAACCTACGTTTTGTGGCTCTAGGGATCCAATGGTGTCAGATACTAAATGTCGCATACGGCCTATGGCTTCCATCTCAATATCTTATTAAGCAGGCCTAGTTTTACCACAGACAGAATAACAGTATAGGAGTAAAACTAGTTATGTAACAAAACTTGTCCACATTGGCGACCATTTTGAAATTCAAGATGGCTACCATACAGGATGCAATTTCCGATGGCCACTGTTGTATTGTTTCTGTGTGCCAGGTTTCATGCTTTTAATGGAAAGTGCACAATCGACCTGTTTTGTGGAGTTAAGCTGCCCCACTATAAGGAACGATAACTTTCGCCACACTATTCTGCTAAATGTGGTCAAAACATAGCCTACCTATCGCACGACAGTAATTTCTAACAATTTTTGACTAGCGTATATAGAGGCAGAAAATCTAAATGCCCCGGAAATTTTTTTACGATACACAAAATTTAAATTTAGGCCCTTTTATCTTTAATCCAACCTTTACAGATCTAGGACTATCACCACATCGTTTAACCGTTTTTCTTTTTTGTCTGCGAAATATTACATAATATATTTTATACCACACTTGAGTGACATGAGGTCTACAGTCTATAAAAAGTAGAAATCGGTAAGATTTTACAATTCTGTGAAATACGAATCCAAGATTTCAAAAACAGAAGGTCTAAAATATAAAAAGAAATAACATGCTGTACTTACTTTAATTCAAGATTAAACTCGATACAGAGCTAGCGGGGTAAAGAGCTAAAATTTGCTATCATACGATGATTATAATTACAAAATTTTATGTTGAAAAAAATATTTATTGTTTCGTTTCATCATACATAATAAAAACATTCCATTTTTTTCGCAGCAATCGTCAAGAAAACGTGTTTTCCAACTTGCGAAAATCAAGACTCAAGATGACTTGTCGCAGTGGCGAAGGAGTCGTATATGTGGGAGAAACCGGATTTCTTTTGTATATATTCAAGTCCACCAAGTTTCGTCCAAATCCGTCAATATTTATGCTCTGTGCCTTGAGATTAATTATGCACTCATTTTTTTCATTTCTTGGGTGTATTCGCACAAGGAACCAATCAATTTTAAATATAATATATCGAATCATTTCGAAATTTCAGAAGTTTACCAAAATCCCTAAACCAGAAAGGGTCCAAATTTGACATTTCAAAAAGAAAACGTCAGTGCCTTAAAAGGGACCTAAAAATGACATCATTGTTTATGCTTCATCTGCTTAAGTCGGATTGTACATGGCGTAAGTATATATATACCGAAATTTTAAAAATTTCAAGGTCTGACTTTAAACGATGTTTTGTTATCTGGACCCGTCCTTTCTAACATTCTGAAAGATGTCTTGATGAAGTTCCGTTTAGGATGAATAGCTATAATTTCGGATCTTGAAAGAAGGTGTTTCATCAAGTTTCCGTTCGCTGTCTATGGTTATGGCCGACCTATTTACCTATAAAAAGACTTTTACTGGGAATTTATGTGACCCAAATTACGGGGTTTCAAGTTACATATACGACAACCTGTGCATTAATCATCAGTATCAAAAAGGTAAAAAGTAAATAGGCCTACCTTAATTTAAGCATTCGTAGCTGTCCGACTCAATATTCAAATGTGAATCTGTGAACACCTGATAGAACCCAGCTGACTTGGCTTCTCGTGGACTTTCAGAGCAAACAGTTTCGTCGACAGAAATGTTCCTCATCTGCGTTGGGCTTAAAAAAGGACCCTAATTGAGAACTGAGGAATATTGACCCAGCCCATCATTTGCCAGATTTAAATGATGGTCCAGAAGTACAGCGATCTGCTTATTGAGTTCAGTATATAATTATTTTGGCTGATGCAGTATATACACTTATAAACGTTTGATAGCCTTACCTTGCCTTTTCAGAAAATTTAGGAATAAAGTTTGTAAAGTCGACTTAGGTGTTATTCTATTTCGAGGAGGGGGGGGGGGGGGGGGGGGGCTGGTTTGATTGACAAATCAAAGCTAGTTATCGTTAAACAATTAAAATATCTCGGTGATGTGGTAAAAATTTGTGAGTAATAAGACACTAAAATTATGAAATCTAGTGGTGTAAAAAGGCTAGATTCATTTGTCGATTTAGGAGCATTGCATGTAGGTGGATGCTTTAGCCGAGCAAACATGTTTCTCGACTCAAAACATCATTTTACTTCAACTATCTCCAGTTTCAGTATTGGTAGTTAGAGATGCCCCCTCACCTGTAGGAAATCTGGGAATTAACGCTACACTTTCTTACATACGAAAGAACTTTTGGATTTTAGGTGCAAGTAGTTGCATTAAGTCTGTGATATCCAAATATATTGTAAGTAAAAAACATGCTGCTAAAATGTCAGATCTACCGGTGAACAGATAGGAGCAGAGCGAATCAACAGTTTAATTCGTCGTGCGTCCATCCTGCAGATGCCGCATCAGAAACTGTTCAATGGTTTGATCAGAGACGTTTCAAATCTTCACGGTGAAGTATCCTTTTCTTTTTGTTCCAAAGGAGATTTCATAAGTTTATAGAAGCTTCCAAACATTTTAAACCAGAATCACGTGATCATGTGACAATATTGACACAGTAACTATAGATAATGGTCGCCATTCAATAAAATGATAAGTTGCACAGCGACAAGTGTAACTTTTACGGTATCTCGTTTGTATATGCAGATATAATATAAACAATGACGTCATTTTTAGGTCCTTTTTAAAGCACTGACGTCATCTTTTTTAAATGTCAAATTTGGACCATTTCTGGTGAAGGGATTTTGGTAAACCTTTAGTAAGTTGTTCTGCACACTTTGTAGTACAAAAAAACACCATAAAACAATTTCTTGCAATTTTTGGGGGGTAATACTCTATATTGATCAGACTATTAAACTCTTTACTACGTCTGATATTGACCAGGTTGTCAAGGGTTTTGTGATATTTGTGAAAATATCCTTATTTATGATAGAATTGCCATTTTCGAATACAGCGAAGCGAACATTTGGTAAATTCAAGTTTGTCCAGTCCAGTAGTACTAGGCTACTGCTTAAAACGTATTATATTGCTTACTTTATAATAACTAGATAAACTGTTAGATCTCGTCAATAGTTATTAATAATTGTGCTTTGACAAATTTTGATGCGCGTATAATCATGATGAAGTTTTATTCATTCAAAACAATGAAACAACATAGTAGGCCTACATAATGCTGAATATATATGGGCAGATATGTACTCAAATTACATAGGAGATCGTTTTAAAATGGTTCAAAGCACAATTATTAATAACCATTGACGAGATCTAACAGTTTATCTAGTTATAATAAAGTAACTGAGTGCTCAGTTGAAAAGATGGTATACAAGATAAACCTGGATTAATTGCAATATGTGGAGATTATCAACTCATTATCATGCCTCTCGATCCATGGCCGATACACTAAACACTATAACACACACATTAAATCACTGATATTGTATACGGCCTTGCTTTTGCATGTTTGACATCAATTTTTATGGGTTGGATAAGGAGGGAAATACTTGCCCTTGTTACAAGGTGTTTCGTAGAGGGGGGTTAAAAGTGTCCTGTTTTAGTTACGTAATTCTAGAATGGCCCCCTATAGGTCTATGCTGAAATTATCAAAATTACAAATTAATTTCAAAAACACAAGCGCAATCGACACTGAACTTGATCATTTTAAAAGATGAAAGCTTGGAATTCTAATGAAGTAATCTACAAAGGGGAAATTATCCTAGACAACGAGAGAGTCAACAAATTTCGATGTATAGCATGTATAGACACTTTTAGCCAAGGGCGGCGATCCTGGGGGTACAGGGGAAATGCCCTCTCCCCGTAACCTTAGTTTCTGACTGGGGAGTGGGGAACATTATATATATTGTCCCCGCCCCAATAAAAATAGCCATTAAAAAAAATACAATTCATTCATTCAATTGAACGCTATAGTTACATAATTATATATTTATAAATAAATATCATCGATCATCCTGATATACATCGATAAGGTAATCGGCCGACGATAATATCTGGCATAATTATCTGGGTATATCCAGTTTGAACTATTAATTGTCCTATAAACTAACCCAACAAAACTATATCTGCGATGCTCTTTTAAAAGACTTAAGTTACAAAATGTTAAAATATCCTACTATCCATTCAAATCATGAGGAAATATTTTAATGAATTATGAGCATTCCATTGCAATATTACCTCATTATAAAATATGAAATATTTCTTTCTCATCCTTACTTAAACACATGTTCTGTTCGATAACGTTTAGAAAGTGAAGCCCTACGGGAACGTGTTAATTTGGTAAATGATCAATTTATTTGTAACGTAAATTCTAAAACAGTTTTAATTCCTTAAATGTTAAATGAAGATTGCAACTTTAATTTTTTGAATTTTTTGAATACACAATAAGTCTGCTGCTCGAAGATTCGAACGCACTATTAATAGTGAGCGATCACGTGATAATCCAAGTCACGTGTTATATTTTCTCGCCACAGTACAAGAAGGGCACTGTCAGAAAAGACAACGTCATGATTGACTGGAGGATGAATTCTGTGTTTTTGTTGCTTTTCTGTGTACAGACAACCATCTCCCTCAATCCAGTAATATTAGGTAATGTTTAAATGTTTTCCACACTCATCATTTTTTATTTCATGAAAGGAAAGCAGAAGGTTAGTTATTTATGTGGTGACTACAGAGAGTTATCTGCCCGTCGCCTGATTTTCTATATTGTTAGATCTATTTTGTAATGTTATATAAATAATAATAATGACTTAAAGCTAAACCAATTTCTTAATAACGACAGTCCAGAAATTGTTCTAATGAAGAGAACTTTAGAACCATATTTTATTTGATTGAAAGTGACATGGAACACTTAAACATTACATCCATGAAAACAGTTCAGCCATCCTCTCTTGCAGCCCTAAAAGCAAGTTTTTCGGGCAAAATTCTAATAACTAGGTTAGAACTTTGGGCAATATCAGATATCAGATTCCCAATAGTTGATGGGGTACCAGTATAGATTTATGATACATGCAGAGACCTCACCTCTAATTTTGATTCTACAATTTTTCAGTACCTGGAGATGGAGGAAGTCAGATACAAGCTAAGCTAGATAAACCATCAGTTGTACATTATTTATGTTCTAAGAAATCTGATTATTATAGTTTATGGTTGAATTTGGAAATATTGGCTCCATATGTTATTGATTGCTTTGTTGATAATATGAGGTAAGTAGCGAGATAGGTGAGAGATTTGACAGTTTGATTTGATGTCAACACTTAATTTAATGATCTCTATTTATAATATAACATCCTGTAGTTTTAGGGATAATGATTTCTTTGAATACACTTCAGTTGCTGCTTATCAAGTTCACACTGAGCTTAAGTTAATGTATGCTATTAATGTGCAAAATTACATTATTCCAGACTCTGTTTTTAAATTTCGAGCTTACTTTCATTATTGCTCAGATTGCTTAATTGGGAACCTACATTAAAATTCTTTATAAAACGAAATAGCAAAATGATTCAATTTTCCTATATGATGACATAAGGAAATTGATATTATGGGGGATTTTTATCAGTTAACTACTGACTTCCTTGTTTAAAGGAAAATATGAAATGATTTATATGGATAAAATATCTTGTATCTTGTTTGGTTCCATATCTGTATGAGAAGGTTTTTGGAGAATTAAAAATAAGTCCCCTCTTTTTTTTTTCTAAACTAAGTACATAACAGTTGGATTTTCTATGAACATTTTGACCTGACATTCAATTTACATTTGTACTAGATTGGTCTATAATGCAACAAGCCGTAATACTACAAATTCACCTGGTGTATTTACTATGATACCTGATTTTGGTAGCACATCTTCAGTCGAATGGTTAGATCCAGATACGATATCTCATTTTACGCGCAGTAAGTTTGATGTTGAACTTTTAGGTTCTGAATTGAAATTATACTCAGGGATCTGATTATTGATGTTGTAGTAACTATATAGGGGATATTAGATAAAGAACAAGTTTTACTGAAATAATTTTCTTTGTTATGGCTAAAGTCAGTTTTCAGAAATCTGAGAATAATTTCAAAACGATCAGAACCTATATATTCAATAATTTGTTATATTTATATTTATTCTACTTTATAATCCTTATATAGGCTAGTTTATAACAGAACAACACATAAAACAAGTAGTCCCCCAGGGGTAATCACAAAGATTCCTGATTTTGGTCATTCTAATTCTGTGGAATGGCTAGATCCTGACACTAAGTATAGCTCTAGTAAGTCTTCACAGTTCACCGACGGTTCCTTTCACTGTATTGCAGGTTTAATGATTGCAAATCTTCAAACTTTTCTATCCTTTTCCACATATTATTCACAAAGCATCTTAATTGTTGCAGTTTTTACTGTTATAAGCACATTTTCTTTCTGCATTAGTGTATTGAATATGGTTGTTTCTATGACCTTTGTCTTAAGACAATGTTTGTCATTAGGATTTTGATGTTATACTGATATTTTAGGTGGTAGAAGCATTGAAAGTTTCTAGATTACAGCTTATTCACTCATGTGAACATAGACATTTATTTTTGAAACTACAAAACAAAAGATCATAAAGGGCATTTTGTATAATGCCAATAAGCTTATATGAAATATTTTTATGGCACTGGTGATTCTTGATTGCCTCCAATCTTCAACAGTTTAAAAGGCTGTAAGCTTGCATGCATAGTTGAGCAAAGATATTTGTTCAAACCATTTATACTATTTAAAACATGTCCTAATTGAAAGTATGTTGGTACTTAAATAATAAAAAAGTTTTGGTGCTTTAAAATTGTTTTTACTCCTTATGTTTTAAATCAGTGCTTCTCAACCTGGGGTGAAAAAAATAAATGGGAGTGAATGGTCAGAAAAGGTATAAGGTTTTATAAGAGAAACTCTCTTATAGAAGCACTGGCCTAGGCCACAAGTAGGGACTATGAATTTCAGCATTTTGGAATACATTAATTTGATAGAAAATTACTTACTTATGGAGAGATTTACAAGATAAATAAATAATTCAGAAATGCAAACCAATTTTTTCAAGGATTTAATAAAAGGGGATCTTATCTATCATGGACAAGAACATTACATTTTTATTCCTTTTGTAAGCAGTCACCAAAGGGTGAAACTCTTAAAAGAGTAAGAAGCACTGTTTTAAACCATGAAACAAAAAGATAATGGCTTTACCAAACAAAATGTTAATATATGGGTTAACCTTTCAATAATTATTTTTCTGTTATTGGAATAATCATATAGTAGAAATACTATTATTGTTAAGTTATTTTTATTTATTCAAGCATTATATTTTTTTCAGCCTCATATTTTGCCCCTATTGTTGACAGTCTAGTAAGCAAAGGGTTCGTAAGAGGCAAGTCAGTTCGTGGTGCACCATATGATTTTAGAAAAGCTCCAAGTAAGTATTATTATATGCCCAAATGAAATTGGGGGGGTCTTGACTGATTTTAACAAAACTTTATATGATTGGTTATAATCACCCAAGGTTGAACCCTATAGAAAAAATATTTAGTATGAGTTATTGCCCTTGTTCTTGAAATGCTCTTAAACACTCTACGAGGTGCATTTGTTGACGGATTTTGACGAAATTTGGTTTGAGTTTTTTTTTAATCACCCAAGGATGAACCCTATTCAAAATCAGAGAATAGACAAAGTTATAGTACAAGTTATTGCCCTTATTCTTGAAAATGTGTTCAATTTAAGCTTGTAAACAATCTAGAAGGATTAATTTTTTACATATTTTGACAAAACTTGGTGTGAATGTATGTTATCGGCTGAGGATGAAGCCTTTGGAAGATCAGAAAAATCGTAATATATTTAGTATGAGTTATTGCCCTTATAATGACTGAAGGTTGAATGTTTCATACTTTTGATTGTTATTGTATTGCCAGATATTTTTATTCAAAATCAAAGCTGACAGTAGGCGTATTTTACCTTGCCTGGCAAGCTATTTTGTAATGATGTTGAGAGAAAACATTTTAAATTTCGCCTATATACCCTGAAAACATTGCAAATTTGTGTGATTTACGCACTGCATTTTATTGAATTATATTTTTCTTTATTTATTTGTTTGTAGATGAATTTGGTGAATACTATGATAATCTGAAAAAATTAGTAGAAGATACATATAGTAAGAATAATAACAGTGCAGTGGTATTATTAGCTCATAGTATGGGTAATCCAACCACTTTATATTTCCTTAATCACCAACCACAAGCTTGGAAAGATAAATATATCAATAAGTTTATAACATTAGCTGGTGTCTGGGCAGGTTCTGTTAAACCAATACGATTATATACATCAGGTTTGTGTTTTTTTCTTCAAAGGACGCTTAACTAAAGCTTGCTTATTTCTGCTATCAATGAAAAAAAAAGTGCAATTCAAATCTAATTTTTCATTTAGTCAAGAATCTTGTTTCTTACAGCCAGAGATTTGTCCCCAGGAATCAAATTGCATTTGATAATTAACAGATTGTTTTCACTGCCACATAATGATAGATATTGTTCAGTAGAAACAATTGATAGTTGCTTCGTTCTGTATGCAAATCTTTCAGATTATTTTCCGTTAATTTCAGGTGATAGTTTAGGAGTTCCTCTTGTAAATCCTAACAAGGTTAGAAAAGAACAGAGATCAATGCCAAGTACAGCCTGGCTTTTGCCTTCTCCAAAATTCTGGAATAAAGATGAAATCCTTGCATATCAGCCAAATAGAACTTATACAGTGAATGATTATAAACAATTTTTTACTGATATCAATTTTTTGGATGGTTATGAAATGAGAAAAGATACTGAAAATTTAATTATGGATCTGAAAGCACCTGGTGTTGAGGTGCATTGTTTACATGGTCATGGACTGCCTACACCTGGTGCTTTTAAATGGGACAATAAAAAAACAATTTGGCCTGATTCTCAGCCATTTCAAGTAAATGATGATGGAGATGGAACAGTGAATATCAGAAGTTTGTTAGCATGCTTATCATGGAATGATAAACAAAAGCAAAAAATATATCATAAAATATTTGCTAAAGCAGAACATATGGCAATATTAAACAATAAAGATGTAATATCTTATATATTATCACATGTTGGACTGTGATAACGTACAATATTTATTATTCCTTTGTTGTTCATGCTCATGATTTTTTTTGATTAATTTTTATTTGGCTTTGTGTTTATGTTTATAGACCTATTGTTGAAAAACAATTTGGTGCCTATTGACTACTAACATTACTAAGTCATTGAAATAAAGTAATTTATTAAATTGAGATAAACTGGTATTGGCATTGGGGTAAATGATCGTTTGAGTTTTTTCAAATGTTCACATAATCAAAATAGTTCGTAGTTCTCCATAAGTTTAACAGATTTAAGTAACAGGCAGCTAGAATTTATATTATTCCATAGAATTGCTTAATAGTTGTAATGTAAATCTATAAGATACCGGTACTATTTTGCAATGCATTTTTCTTGCATTTATTACTCTATGTAGTGGTCTGTTGAATGTAGTGTCATAAAATAATATCTGATCAAATGAATCTTGGCTTCTTACTGCACTGAAATATATTCACACAAATGTAGTAATAAGAAATATTTGTAGAAAGGGTACTTACTTACACTAAAAAGCTAGATTTTTGTGTACATCAGGGTTAAGTATTTTGTTTGACAATTTATAGTCTTCAACATTCACTATAAAGGAGTGTTAATAAATATACCTAATTAGTCTTTACTTGGTTATAGTTAATAATTTTATATATGGTGCCATACTGTAATTATTGACTTTATTGAATCTAAAATTATGAAGACAGTATGTTATTGAAATATTATATACAATATTAAATGATATTGCTGAGCAAGGTATGTTACCTTAATCCCCAAACCACATACACATTGAACAGCAAACTTAACTAAATGAGATAAGAACAAGTGCCAAACTTAAACTTGAAACTCAAACTTGTCAAGTAGTTATCAGATCTGACTACAACTCAGTAAATTATATCGGTAAATATCTTGAGATGTACATAAATATCTGTCTACATTCTAAAAAAAGGTTTCGTTGGAATTCTATTCAATAATTATATTGTTATGATATATATTATTATGTATTTCTTTTGTTTACTAAGATATTTTTTATCTTTAAAAGTTTATTTATGTTTGTTTGTATGAAGTCATGTTTTTTTGTTCACTTTTTGAAACTTTTAACATGTTAAAACAAGATGAGTTTATTGTTTGATATTATGAGGAATTATGCTTTTTTCTGTTGTATACATGTATTAACAGATTAGAGGATTAACTTTCAACAACAAAATCAGGAAAACTTATGCAATATCATCAATTATTATGTATGTTTTTTTAAAGTTGTGTTTAAATCATTCCATTTCTAATCTTAATGAATTGTCTGTCAAGACGAAATTAACAATTACACTTTTAATAGAAAAGTTGTTTAATATTAAGTTGTCTAAGCAAAAATCGTTTTATTCTGGAAATGCCCTTTAGATTCGTCTTGCTACACAATTTTATTTGATTAGTTTGCAGTCCATATAATCAATTGTAATGGTTAATGTAAGAAAAACTAAGAAAAAATATGTAGCACTTGAGCATTGGATATGGCTTTTCGATATCATACTGTCGAAACATTTCATATTTAGTTTGAATATCATTTCAGTGATTATTTATCTGTCATCAGTTGATGGAGAAGGGAAATAAATAAAGGATCTGGTACATCAATAATTGTTTATTCTAAAGTCTGCCATATTTCTTGTATTTGTTGTATTTATTGAAAGTGATTATTTTTCTTATTTGTGTGTTTGATTTTGTATTTAAACAATTTTTTGATGAACATATTAGTGCTTTTTAAAAATTAATGTTACCCATTCATAGCCTCTGTGATCTTACAGTTAATCTCAAACTGTACAGATCTACTGATCGACTATATTGCATTATCTCACATTGTTGCAAACCTGTGGACTGTGGACAGTTTTTCAATTATTATACAGAATTACTGCCCTTGTCCCTTATTATCAAACATGTCTTAGCTTCTTTAGTTTTCGACCCATTTTCACAAGACATAAGTTGACAATATTAGACTGAGGCTTGGCCCGTTTGGTTTTCAACCTATTTTTCTCGAAAAATGTGTACGATAGGTTCAGACCAAAGGCAAGGTCAAGTTGAAAATTTAAGCGGTCGGTGAGGATTTGAGTGTTTTTTTTTCTAATTTTCTTATTAGTTGCCTTGAAAATGTTAAAACACTCGCCTCACGTGTTTATGAACCCATGATTATTGCCCTTGCTGTCATATTGGACGTAGGCCTATTATGAGAAAGAAGAAGTGAAACTAGATGATTAACCCTAACTGATAACCATATAAAGTACAGTCACTATATATAACCAAGACAGGTGGCTAAATACAATGGTTCATCTTATATTGTTGCACCCAGTCATCTTTGGACTAGAATACAAATCCACCACCACAGATTGGAAACAATATTGAAATCCCAAATAACTCTGAATCGAACATAAATACCTACAGACGAATATAATTATTCATTCCGTTTTAAAGAAATCAACATAGCCTACTACGTAAAAAGCGGATGTTGAGGACTGAAATGACGTTTTGGGGATAAAAACGGTACATGACGTTTTGTTAAGACGTCCTTAGATACGGCTAATGTCTTGCTTGGTAAGTTCCATGGCCATGGTTTTAATGGTAATCCTGTGAGCATTTTACTAATTGTTTTGTTTAGAGTGGTTAACGGGTAAAGATTTATAATGCCGTCTGGCAGTAAAAGAAACAAAAAAGATAAATCGATCAACAAATTAATGATGAATTCACCGAACGGCTCCACCAAAGTGACCAAAGACAAAGAGAGCCAAAAGCCACAGCAGACTATGTTTGATGCTAGTTTGAAGACCCTGGATAAACTCTTCAAGGAATCCAGCGCAACAGACATTCTAAAACTTGGTCCCAGGCCGGAATTGGTAAGTACATGTACATTTTTACATAGTAATTTGTTTCTAAAATTGCACTTTTAAAACTTTATCAATTGAATCATTAAATAGAACATTCGGCCTTAAAGGGTACACAAACCCCACTGGTGGCAACGAAAATGACAAGCTTATTATACAGTTATAGCTTAAAGTTAGAGTGATTGGTGAAATCAGATCTATGCATTCATCTGACCTAATAAACATCGGACTTTAATGGGCCCAAACCTACCTAAACCCTTTCGCCTACCACTTTTATGTCATTCAATGGAAATGCCTCACTCAACCCTACGAAGTGCCTGCAAACTACATTCAAAATGATTGGTTTCATTTAAAGCTTGGTATGACACCTTTAGCGATGGCAGCCTCTGTTGGTAATGTTGAAGCTGTTGTAAAGCTCCTGGCTGCTGAAGCCGACGTCAATGAAAAATCAGATGTAGGTAACCTTTATCTCTTTTAATCAAGAGCAGTAAGATAAGATACAATATAATTTCATTCGCAGTGGTCTTAATAACCCATTGATTATATTGACATAAAGCCGCCACAGATACACACAGACAAGGACGTAAACAGAGATTATAGTACTTGTTAGCAGTAAATGGCTTAAAGATGGGTTCCTTTATTTTCATTTATGAAATTGAAAAATTCTGATCCTTATATGAATAGAAAGTAGGGGTATTCTAATGACTTGGAAAAATACTCAGTTTATCTCACTTGTCCATAATTAATTTATAATTATCTCAATTAGGAGAGAATTACCAACAGAATTCCAATGAGTGACCGATCAAAAAAGATCAAAAAGTATTTTTTGTTTATCCAGACTGGACATTTCTGATTGGTTAAAACTCTTAATACGCAATAAGAACATTTATAATGATATGATTAAGAATACATGATCATTCATTAAAAACACCGATTATTCAAAAAGTTTGCTTAATTTGACACTAAAAGATAAGGAAACCCATCTTTGAAAATCCAGAATTATAATTAGGGCCTATGATTTGTAGCATGTGACATCAAAGTATATAGTTGATTTTGGTTATTTTGCGTCAAAACTGAAGATAAAATGAACTACAATATTATTGTCAATAAGGAATGAAAATTTGTTATCAAAGTAATGCCCATGTTTCTGAATTGTCATCGATCATTCCAATGTTGTACAATGTTTCCTTTTAGAAAAACACAACAGCTTTAATGCAAGTTATTCACAGTAAAAATGTAGATATTGCCCATTTACTGTTAAAACAGGGAGCGAGGCTAACAGATAAAAACACGGTTCGTTTTTCTGATTTGATCATACGAGAGATTTTGGTTTGTAAATAAAAAATAATGCAAGTTTCGCATCCGCTAACCGGCCTTTCGTTGACAACTGATAGTCATCTTCACTCATAATTCCAGACGACCCAGCTGTAAATGGGTACAGATAATCCAGGATCAATGCCAAAAGGTTTGGCCAAGGACCAGCTGGTAGAAAGGATACTGTGAACCCAAATTGTTATCCTTGTAAAATATAGTTGTTTCTTTCTGTTTCGAATTCATATTGAGGATATTTGTAACAATACCCGAAGTTCAAGCTACTTAAGGAACCGAGAGGATGACACCACTCTTTTCCCATAAAAGTTTGAGTCACTGAATCCGAAGATACTATCTCAACCTATGCCAATCATCCAATAACCAAGGTTAGTCGCGTTGGATCCTATATGAGTGGATTTCTTAATTAAATTTTGCGTTTTCAGAGTGGGGATAATGCTTTTATGATGGCTGTTTGGTCAGGGGAGGCTGATTTAGTCAATAAAATGTGGCCATATAGACAAGATTTAGATATTAATCACCAGAATCAGGTAAAACGTTCATATCTATCTACATATGGTTTTTATTCTTTATTGACGTGTGTGTATGGAGTGGATCAGAGGGAGTCCCTTTGTGATATTTTAGAGGAAATTGGTCATGGTGGGTGTCAGAGAGAAAATTATCTAATGTGGCAAGTAGGAGATTACATACGCGATTTTTGAAGTCTGAGTTTTTCCCTTTTTTATGACCCGAGGGGGCGGGGTGGCATGGCCCAGAAATTACCGTCTACATACGCCACTTCTTTAACTCAAGGAAAATTTAGATTTTAGAACAAACAGGTTGTTCGTTATAAAGAATTGAAATAATGTTCTATGTTATCTCTCAACTTCAGGCAGGAAATACAGCCCTTCATCTAGCAGCCTCAAAGAAATGGGAAAATGGTATTCAGTTTTTGTTAACAAATGGTGCCGATACCAATCTTCAAAATAAAGTAAGTACCCAATCTTTAGACCTATTGAGTATGAACCGTTAGCCAAATTAAGAATGTGGCCCACAGCTTTAGTCTGAGGAAAGAGGTCGACATTTGATAACTTTAATTTAATAACCTTTTCAATGAAGGAATTATGGTTGAACTGAAATTGTACACTATAATTCGTGTTTGTTTTTGGAGAAAACACAAAATACTTTGGTCCCTACTGCATAACTTTGGCTCTCTTATAAATTTTAGGCTGGTTTCACACCACTTATGACTGCTGTAAAGCAAGGTGATATGAAGGCAATTGAAAAATTAGTTAATCATTCTTATACAGATTTACTTATAGAAGATTCGGTAAGTCACGGGATTCCTTTCTTCTACTCGATTTGAATGGGTACCGTACATTATAAATTCATAGGTCCTACTTGGACCCCAATTACTATTAGTTTAGCTCCCAATTATATCATTATAATCTACGCAAAATCTATCATTTAAGTCTGTAGCTTTTAATTTCCTTTTTGGTAGGCTATAATATATGCTTAACTTTTTACAGGAGGGTCAAACAGCCTTGTGTAAAGCCATTTTAAATGAAAGAGGAGATGCTGCTCAAGTGATAACTACAAAATTGTCTGGTTTAGACAAAATAGTTTTAAGTCAGGTTAGGAAAATTTTCCTCTATAAAATTGTACTTGTAGAAAGCATATTAGCCCTATAAATCCCCGGCAACGGTATACGACGTTCGCGAGGAGCTGGTTATGCCAGATTTGTCATAGTCATGTGTCTCCAAAATTCAGAATTGGAATGATGTTTAGGAAATTGGTTATAAAGTTTATCCAAGCACTCAACATTTAAAACACTAGGAGACAATATAACTAGTATTATTGTGTTATTTATGTATCATTAAAACCGTGATCTAAAAGTGACGAATTCCCAATAGCCTTACACAGCCGTGGACTTCCACTTTTTTGCATCACTTGGTAATTTGTAGCGTTGAAGAAAGCAAGAGCAAATGTTGTCATGTCTACACTAAAAAATTGAAATGGGTTGGTTTTTCTTTTCTAGAATTTAGTTACCAAACTGTTAAAGCCACCAGAAGATTGTGATAATCAGGTTGATTTTTATGAAGAGACTCTCTATCCTGTGTTATTAACAATGTGTAAATTTGACGAGTTTAGATCGTCTCTGTGCAGCTGTAAACTAATAGGTCATGTTATAAACATTGCTGCCAAACATGTAACCAGTTCTCAAATAGTTACTGCCAGTTGTTTCATCTGTACGTTATTGATGTTCAAGTATTCATCTGGTACTGACGAGCGGTTTGTAGATCAATTTATGGTTTGTAAAGGTCCAGAATTTGTACTACATGTGCTCAAAATCTATGAAAATCTAGAAAATGGTTTAAGTCAAGATTCCGAGGTAATGGCCAGCTGCATCTTGACCTTAGTACCAGTATCAGATTCAACAACCGGCAAAGAGTGGATTAAACAAAATAATCAAAGTATGTCCAAGTATATAGAAAAATTGAAAGTCTCAAATATTATGAGCAAATTAACATTTATTGATGAAGGTTGTCGCTGTAAGTTGAAAATAGCCTGGAAAGAATTTATCAAGTTGTATGAAGATACTATTGATCACCAAAGACAACAAAATATTAACCAATTACTGGAAGAGGAAGAACGAGAAAAGTTGAAGAAGGCTAAGAAAAAAGATAGAAGAAAAACCAAGAGGAAAAACCAAAACAAGAAACAAAAATTCGAAGAAGGAATGATAGATACTGCAGCAATAAATGAAAATAATCATTCAAAAATTACACCACAAATAAAAGACAAAAAAACACCAAAAAATACAAAATATCAGCCATTAAATTATGATAACTTTGATGATAAGTCAGATTTAGACGAACCATTAGAATTTGGATTTACAGTGGATTTAGATGCATTAACTGAAGACGAATGGGTTACTGTTAGTACGAAGAAACCGATAACGAAGCCTGCTCCTAAATTAACTCCACAAAAACAAGCTATAACTGCAAAACAAGAAATGTGTAAACCATCAAAACAAAGGCCAAAGAATGAGAAAGTAGAGTCTATCAAAATCAAAGATGGTAACCTGAGCTGGGCTGATATTGCTCGAAGTAATATTCAGTCAATTGAAAAGCAACCAGATTTATCAAGTCCAAACAAAAGCCGCACAGAATCTCCAGCTACATCTGTGCATGATTATTCACTTGAGGGTACAAACGAAGATACACTTTCAGAAGAGGAAAATGTAGCAACTATAGAAGCTCAAGTACCTAAAGTCCAAGTTTCAGACCCAAATCCATATGAACACGATTTTCCAACGCTAAACGATAGAACTGATTCTATCTGGGGACCATGCCCCATTGATACGGATTGTTCTAATTCCAGAGCTGCAGAAATATATTCTGCATCCTCAACTATGGACAGACAAGCCGATAATCATGCCACTTCATGTCGACCTCCACCCGGATTTAGCGAGATTAGGCCTACGGAAAATTGGTGGGATAATATGAATACTTTGAAGTTCCCTCCATTTGGATTTCAACCTAATCAAACAACCACAACTTCAATTTCACCAAATGCTTCTAGTCTATCTCCACTTAATCAAATGCAGTTCATGGCATCATTTATTGAGGAACAACAACGTTTATTAAGTGCTTCTCAGTCGAATGGAGGAAGTAGCGCTACAATGTTACCAAATCAAGAACTTCTATCATCAAAACCAGTTGAGCATACTTTTCAACAAAACGAAACAACATTTCCCGTGAACTCGGTTGGAGGAACGAACGTTTATGGCCAAATGACCAAAACATGCATAAATTCATTGGTGCATAATATTCCAACTGTAGATGCTTTAAAGATTTCTCATGGAATGGACTCTGCACATAATCTTCCCCAACCTAAGCAGCTATGGCCTGATCACTCCAATGATTTTGATGGCTATTTGGAGAACATATGGAAGAACGACACCATTCTTTCTTCGGGGATTCAACAAACTCTTCGTGGACCTTTACCAGGACAAGCTATATCGGATACTGTATTATATCCATCTCACCTACGAGACGATGGATCTGTTGACCCAGAAACAAGTTCAGATTACTCTACTCAGTCATCAGATACATGTAATACAGATTGTTTCCCTTCGTTTCACGATAACAAAGACTATATGACCACATCTTTTTTATTTGAAGAACTTGCAAAGGATCAAGTCAAGAAGCATGACAGGAAGTTATCCGAGTATCCGTTGTTTAGAAACAGTCCAAATCATTACAATACTGATTATTATAAATCTCTTTATGGATTAATGTCCAAGCACCAGGAGGCCGATAAAGATCAGGAAGCTGATAGCGAAACATCACCACTTCCTGAATGGGCTCTTGAACCTGACAATCCAGATTATGAAATAACTTCAATGCCATCATTTTCTCAATTCCCCAATGGTTCTATGACAGGGTATGTGAGTAGAAAATGGAAAGGGAGGTTAAATGAAATCAGAAGACTCCCAGAGAAGATGAAAAGACAGATCGGTTCTATTGTCATACCATTACAATCAGCTCTGTATAACATTAATGAAAAGTAAGTTATGACTTTTCATTATGAAATACTTACTCACTTTTGATATACTTCCTTGTGTAAATGTCCATTAGCTGCTACCCATGTTTCGCTAAAATGTTATTTTGGGTTTCATTTTGCAGTTATTTTTTTTATTTGCGAACCATAGTAATGAATATCGAACTACAAGTTCTTTTACTTCACATTGATCTTGAATGGTGCCTCTCACATTCAGATTGCATGTACGCCCACGAAGCGCCAATTTTGCTCACAATATTATTGTACGAAGGGAACACAGATTCAAGATTCTTGCATCCCAAAAGATCCCTAGAATGAAGGGCATAAGGTTTATAGTAACCATGTTCTGATAACCTGTGCTGTTACTATTTCAGTGGGAATTCAGTTATATTGGGCCATTTACTCGATGGTACAGAGGTAGCTGTAAAAGTTGTTGACCCAAAACTCTACTCTGTTAATTCTGAACTCATGGAAAGACTCCAAGCTGCCGAAATCAAACACAATTTTCTTTTGAAATATTTGGTAAGTCTGCGACAGTTAAGAACGGTTCATTTAGGTATCAAGTTGATTATGGAGTAATACAAAAACCATATACCAACCGAACACAATCAGAAACTCTCGTAAGGAACGGTCACAATCTTGAACTGAAACGGGCATTCGGATTCGAAAGAAGAGTATGATAAATATGATAATATTTCAAGGGTCACGCTCACAGTGAATACGTTTTTTTGTTTTGATCTAACATAATGCTTATATTTTGTATGTTTCATTGTAGGCAATTGGAGAAACTAGTAATAAACAATACATAGCTTGTGAGTTATGTGATTACACATTGGAAGAATACATGCATATTACTTGTTTAAATTTTCAACATGATGCTCTATCTGCTAATAAATTATCGTGGCAGTTATTAAAAGGTCTACATTATTTACATACAGAATTCCTGCTGCCTCATGGAAACTTGAAGGTCAGTGGAACATCAGTAATGAATTGGGACCCAAATAATAGTTGCTTATTATAATTATGTCATGGTGGATGTCGGTTAGTGAGTTTTGACCCCGTCAAATGTAAACATTTTTTAATTTCAGCCACAGAATATATATGTTGATTTTGATGGTAAATTAAGAATTGGAGGATATGGTGTCAATAAAAAACACAGATTGTGTAGAATGTCGACAGCACCTTGCAAGAAATGTATGTAAAGGATCTCGATATTTAAAAATGCCATCTCTCCCTGGATATCTCGTCGCGTGATGCTGATATCATGGGAATAATGACAACTATAGTTTTTTTTTCTATTCTGGTCCAGGACAATCCTGTTAGTCAGTGCCCCAGAACCACACTTATGTGTAAAATGGACGGGGTTTTTGGACGGTGTAATTCTATGGTAATACCTCAACAGTAGTTGACTCAATATTTGTTAATTTCTGAATAATATTTTCAGTGAAACATGAAATTTGGAGAGCTACAGAATGTTTAGGTGACAGTGAAAACACTGTTTCTACTACTAGTTCTGATGTTCAGGTAAAAAAAAATATCTTGATATTAGATGCTATCTTAACTTCTTATATTTGTTTAGGATATTACAAGATATAATATTTCTTATGATTAGTTAAACAGTATATCACTGTTAATAATGAAATTTAATGAAACTGGGTTTTACGCCTTTATTTTCTTATTGATAGCGGTATTTATGAAGCCAATTTTCCAGGACAGCGACATTATTTTTATGCAAATTGGTTTTTGAACGTAAACACGTCAATAGCTGAACTGTTACGGAACACGCTACTTCTTCATCAGTCTTTGATATTTATTAAATAAATAGGTAGCGGGAATGTTGATACATTATATTCTTACTGGTGGAAAACATCCTTATGGTGAAAACCCTTATGAGATAGAAGTCAACATTTGCCAAAATTGGGGACAGATGACATTTATTTCCGAAGAAGCCAATGATCTTATCTCAGCCATGTTGTTTTCGGATATTTCAGCAAGACCGACTCTTGAACAATGTTTGGGGTGAGTATCATCGAACATCTCTGAATCTCACTATCATAACATCTGGATAGACCAATTACAAACAGTACCTAACGGATTAAATATACAGTATGACAATCAAATTATACCTTTCGTTGCCACTTACAATTCTACAGCTAAAGATAGCTTGCGAGGCAAGGTAACATACGACCACTACCAGATGTCAGAAATGATAACAAAATCTTTAGTGGCTTAATAATGAATTTTCAAATAATCTTAAAATCATCTACAAGTCAAGGCAAAAACATCAAATTCAAACATTTAAAATGTCTCATTGCTGTACACACAAGGGCAGTAACTCGGAAACTGTTCATTCGATTATCACCAATTTCTAACTTGACGAAGATCTCATCATGCATATCTATGCATCATCAAGATTGGATAAAAACTGTAATCTCTATCGTGCCTACAATCGAAATTTGATTAAATCTAGGGCAATAACACCGAAACCAATCATCCGATTAAATCATCCGGATAAAAACTGTAGTCTCTATCATGAGAGTTTCTCTTATAAAACCTTGTACCATAACACTGTAAACGTTAGGTGACATCTTTTTTTTTTCAGACATCCATTTTTCTGGTCGGATGAAATGAAATTTCGATTAGTTTTGATAGCTGGGTCAGACGTTTTGAAAGAAATGAAAACCGGGTAAGGAAAAGATATTGTTCTTGATGGGAAAAATATGAATCTGTAATATATTTATGACTTTGTCAGCTCTTCATTCAGGAGCTTGAGAAGACTCGAACTAATCTTAGTAAAAATGAACTAAGTACTATAAACCAAATCCAAAATCCAAAACGACATATTGACGAAACATTTGAAGCACCTAATGAACTTTTCACATGAGGAAGTATATCATTCATAAGTGATCTTTTTTTTATTTTAAACCAGTGTACCTGTAACAGGAAATGGTTCAACTACAATGATCGACTTTCTAAATGTTGTTCCAGCAGAAAACATCAGTCAAGACTGGGTAAGTCAACATAGTATACAAATCCATATAATCCGAGGTAGGTCTATACCTTTGTACTACTTTGGTTTCATCTTTCCTCTAAACACCACAATGGCATTGACCTCATAATTTGGGAATTCTTTGTAAGCTATAAGCCCTAATAGGTACCTGGGCATACGAAGATCGTTTTGTTCTTTCATTTTTATTATCCTATTTCAGATGGCTGATTTAGATCCAGTTATACTGAAAGATATGAGATCGTTCCGTCAGTATAAAAATTCACTTGCTGAATTAGTATTATTCCTTTACAACTGTTGTCTACATTTCGACAAAATGTAAGTACATGTATTGATCTGTAGTAAATCTTTCGTCATAAAATCTAAATATGATGTAATGTAGTAAATCTTTAATCTTAATGTTTAAATGTGATATTTGTAGTTAATCTTTAATCAAAAAGACTGAATGCGTTCTCGGTAGTTTATATTTAATTAGAACGTTTGAATACGAAAACCTCTGAATACAATATCTTATATATCTGTATTAATTTTTAATTGTCAAATCATTATGTGATGTGTGTTAATATAAAAGCTTCATCGGATAATCAAAGTGTGATGTTTGTAGTAAATTTTGCTATCTAAATGGTATATCTTTAGTACATCAAAATTATAAATGTAGTAAAAATACTCAATATGACGTCTGTGGTAAATCTTTAATCATAAAATGTGACGTCATTAGCAATGTCCAAATGTGATTTCTGTAGTAGATCTTTCATCATAATGTCTAAATGTGAATGTCTGTAGTAGATGTCTAAATATGATGTCTCTGGTAGATCTTTCATCATAATGTCTAAATGTGATGTCTGTAGTAAATCTTTAACCAGAAAATCAAAATTTGATTTTTGCAGTAACAGATTAAATCGGGAAATCTTAATAAGAGACCAATTGTAAATCTGTAATAATATAAGTCTTAATGTGATCTTTTGCCAGAAAGTATGAATGTGGTGCCTGTAGTAAATCTTTAATCGTGTTTTTATGCAGTAAACCTGGAATCATCAAGATAAATCTTAATAATCCAGAAGTAATTACTTTAATTATCTTTTGATATACAGCGTATGTGCAAACATGAAGTCAAATTATAACCAAGTAAATAGGTAACAAGTATCTCTGAAGTAATACGCCCGCATCTCTCTGCGTTGACGTATATTGTCGGCACCCCGTCCGTCCGTCCGTCCGTCAACATTTGCTTGTAAACGCTCTAAAAACTAATTTTTTTATGGAATCAAAATTGAAATTCGGTATGCACATATTCATAACGAAGATCAAGATCGAATTTAAGCCAGTTTCGACAGTTAGAAGCAGAGTTATTGCCCCAAAACCTGTAGTTATATCATTTTTGAGAAATTATCGCCCTTTAACCTCTATACAGTAAGTGCCTCTATCTACATCAATTGCTCGTAAACACCCTAAAAACTAGAGTGTTTGAAGGAATAAAATGAAATTCGGTATGTGCATGAAACGAAGGTCCGTCGGCCCGTTATTGCCCTTGCCCCAAAAACTTGAATATTTACCATCCGCATGCCGTGGTGGGCGTATATTGCTGTGGTCCACTATCTTAAATAATGCAGTAGGTTGAGTTTCTCCTATCATATTTTTCAGGTCACCAGCAGCAAGAGAAGTTATGGATGATCCATGTAGATATTTTCCTGCTAAATTTCCTAATTTATTTATGGCAGTTTATAGAGCAATCAAAGTTTCAGATCGTGTTAACAGAACCTGCTATAAACCATTCTACTCTCATTGTTCCTAGATAACCCAGATTTAAACAAATGTCTTTACAAATGTCTTTCAGTTTTACAATTTCATATTTTACACTTTTACTTTTTATATTTTAAATAATTTTTACAATAATATAATGTTTAAAAGTGAATGAATTAAAGAGTGTCTTTTGAATTTTTGCTCTACAATACTTTGGTTCCAGAAAGAAAGATTTCATTTTTATTTTAATGATCAATTTTTTGTGGTTAAGACAGATATCAAACATTAACCACCTAACATATGATGATCTAATTCACCAGCAACTGAGATAACCCACTGCCCCAAAACCAAACTTACAAACCAGCCTTAGAGAAAAATATACAGTGTCAATGAGTTGGATAGGTATTCAAAGTAGTCAGGCCAACAACCACGAATCACTAATTTGAATTACCAATTTCACAAATCAATTCTTCAGTGTTTATTATACAATAATTTTATTTACTATTTACAATAACAATGGTATGAACAACAATAATATAACATAATAATAATAGCATCTTGACCACATTCATGTCAAAAAATAGTAGTTATTCTTCCAAGGACCTCATGCCCACTTTCCTAAAGGAACATTCCCCATTTTTGTAAAATGTTTTCATAATCAAAAACGTTATAAATTATACCTGAAATTATTTCTAAAATATGCTATTTATATTTCTATGTTTTTCTTGATCAAACTGAATATTGTTTTAAAAGGGTTAATTAAAAACTAATTCATTACTAATTGTTAATTAAGCAGTTTGTCCTAGTTTTGTTGTTTGACTTTTAAATGGCTCGTTATATTTAGTTGAAATCTATAGAATACGTAGGAGACATATTTCTCTACAATTAGGCCTTTATTTTATTCAAATCCGTACAGTAGTATTCTAGCAGCTTCCATAAAGCATAACGGACATAAAAACCTGACATAAAAACCGTACATATTGTTTTTAAATATTTTTGTCATTAACGGCTGGATTTTTTTTTAGATAACTTTCATATATGTTTAAGGACACATTTCCCTAGATTCAGGTGTATAGTTTTTCACAAATTTTTTTGGACCTACAAACGGAATGTCCTTTTCAAATCATTTTGGTTTTGTCATTTTATGGAACATCATCAGTGTTATTAGTCATCTTTGCTTTTCAAATTTTATTCTTACTATTTAGCTGATATTTATTTGCATCATACATTAGACCTTTGCCAGCAAATCAAATATAAAGCAACCAAGTCTATACTTGAGAGAGGTAAGCTACAATCTTCACCCATATTTGACGTTTGAACTACACAAACATACTGCCTATAGCAAAAAGGAGAATCTTTTAACCAACAGATAGCAAGCCAATAAATAAATTTGTAAAATAAAGGCACAAATGAAATGGGTGGAAATAAAACATATTTTTGATATTATATAACTCATCCATCAGCAAAAAACCATTTTGATATTAATCGATACTAAATACAACATATTATAATAATATGATCTATGATTATAGCTCAAAATAACCATATTATATTGATAGAAGTATATTGCACATATTTTTATGTTTATAAATATCTACATGTATATGGGAAATTAATCTTTGAAAAAAGTAGTAAAGCATTTAATAAAAGATATACAGTTTAACCACATAATAGAGCAAAATTTGACCATACTCCTTTAATTATAGTTAAACTTGTGAATTAATTTCAGACAGTCAAGTATTTGTCAGAAACTTGAATACCTTATGTAGTAAAAATATTTCATGTACCAATGTCCTTTTATAGGCTAATGTCATTAAACCGATATTACTAACAATATGGGCTGCTAGGCTTTGAACCCTAAAGCCATAAATAATACTGTTACATTGTTTTGTTATTAACATCACATTATGCTCATCAAAATCATTAATCTTAGAACTTCCAACATTTATAGTGATGATGACACTAATTGAATCACAACCTTTCATTAAATTATTTCTGTGACACGAGTAATTCAAAGAAATATAGTTTAAAGATAGCTTGTATCAATGAAGTAATTAGAAATAGAAGTGAATAGTAATGAATAAAATTTAAAAAAACAGACTTTCCCAACCAGATGAGTTTTTGTAGGTAACTATTGTAATTATAAGATCTCTTAATGATTTCTATGGAAACACCTAAAAAATACATTGTTTCAGTGCCTATAATATCACAATCATCAGGTATAAGTGTCATCATTTGTTAAAGTAATGGTAAACTTAATATAGTTATCTGTAAATATACGCCACTGAATAAATGGTCTCACAATACTAACAATATCACAAAGGAACCCATGTCCCTTTAGCAACGGTACGATGATTATTTACATCTAACATTATCATTATCATCGTACCGTTGCTAAAGGAACATGACAGGAACCATTCATTGTATTAATTTGATCTAGTTGGCATTTACTTCAACAATTTTGACAAGGTGAACTTTAAATATACATTTAAATCAAACTTTTCATATACCCTTCAATCATAAAACAAATGACGCCTTATCTCTTGGAATGCTTTGGCTTGTATCCTCCATTAATTATAAATGAGTATAGATCAATATTCACATACAACTTTTTCAGCCAGCTCACTAGCAGGCTTCATTCCAGATTTTTTTAGGGGGGTGATTGACACAAGAAGTGAAAGATTTAACTTTAAAAAGACTGTTCTTAATTTCCCAAATATATGATCTTCCCCAGTATAAATTAACTATTGTTCCAGTATTGTTAAATACACATAGTTGTAATATCACCATAAATTAAATAAATATTTCATTATTCCTGCTAGCTTTTAGTAGCAATCAATATAATTATTAATAATATAATTAGAACAGCTAAAACCATGACTATATACATTTTACGATTTTTCTTCTGATATTTTTCAGCCTTCTGAAGTTGTTGTAAACCTTTTTCAACGCCAACACTAGCATGTTCAATATTATAGTCTATTCTATCTAATATAGAACCCTGAAAATAAATAACATGTAGTCCTCAGAACAAAAAAATATGTTTTCATTTATCAGCTCTATACATTATGCTAAGTTTCAGGAAATTGTTAATTCTATAGTGCTTGGTAATGGTAATTATTGAGATTCATCAAAAGAGCAAATGTGAAGGATAGGGCTGCAACGATTCTTGAAATTGCAATTCGATATACTATACGATACTCTATCAACGATACGATTATTGCGATAATTATCGCGATTCATTTATTAAGGAAGGAAAAAGAAATAATAGCAGAAAGTTTGTCACTATTAAGCACTTGACAACATTAAGAAGTGAGGAATTGTGAAAAAAATCTCAAAATTTCAAAGTAAGAAATGAATTTTTGCAAATTTTGATGTGAAAATCATACTAGGAAAATGAAAACATGACACAATTTCTTATACACAGAAGAATTCTGTGTCATTTGTTATTAAAGTTGGCTAAGAATTAATTGTGCAGATAGATCACGATTATTTTTATCTACACAATGCATCAATAAGAAAGAAAGAATCACAGTTCACTGATTCATCGGTGAAACATTGCAGCTATAGTGAAGGAAGAGATGGTCATGAGCACCTAAATGAAAGCATATTGGACAGGTAACTAAAACATTAAATAGCTTTTTACCTGATCTACTATCATAGTAGATAAATCTTTAAATATTTCATTTAAATCTTGTATAGATCTAGTTATTTGTAATATTTCCTTTTCTCTATGTTGTACAGATACAGAATTATCTTCTACTAACTGCATCTGTCTTGAGGTAAAACCCTGTAAAGAAAAAATTATCAGAACTGTATGTAAGCTAACTTCGTTTTACCATTAACATTACTATCAAATCAGTAGGCTTAATCTTAAAGTTTTTCAAAATTGCACATAGTATGTATCTTATGCTTACTATGTCAGTAAACACAGACCTGTGTGATTTCTTGTGTTTGCATTTCTATAGCATGTTCTTCATGTATGGCAAGAGCAGACAATTATTTCTGTATTAGATATAGATTCGATGTACAATGAACAGTTCAATTTATGAAAGACAAACAAAATTTTTAAACCTTAAAATCTGACCTTGTCATAGACTATATCTTCTCCCCCACCCATTAAATCTTCCATTAAAGCTGAATCATTAGTTACACTAGGTCCAAAATAATGTAACGATCGTTCTTCTCTTGATTTTAATTCTAAAAATAAAATCACATCATCATTTATTGGCAATCCATAAATTATACTAGTACAATCTCTTATTATACAGTGGTGTAACCTATTTTCGTGGATATAAGGATTGAACACCGAATTTCGTCAAAGTTAAAAAAAAGGAAAAAAAATTTATGTCTCAGAGGTTTCCTCAGATATTCTACCAAAAAATTAAAATTGGTTTATTTCGATTTTCTTTATGAATCCTTCACTTTGACCCATATTTCATGAGCAACCAACTCGGCAACAGCGGCAGAATGTCTCACCTATTTTCGTGTACAATGTTTGATCCATAAATAAGTCTAGAAAAACACGTTGTATGGATACCAGGTGGTATAATTAACTTCTCTTAGTATTTATCTTTAATATCAATTCATTACAACTGGTGACAATTCTGATTACCGCTTGGAATTATAAAGAAATGCGTCAGATAAAAAATGGTGACGTTTGGTAATAAGTGAAATCCGCCATTTTGTATTTGTCATAGTATACATAATACGTTTTACCTTGCTTGAAACTACTGGATTCATTCTACTAGCTGATGTTGTAGAGAAAACTCATGTTTATCAAAACAAACTAATGCGGAGGTCGCACAAGGTCGCGCATGTAAATTATTAATCCTTTCCAGAAATCTACGAATAATAGGTTTCCACGAAATTAGGTTACTAGACTGTATATATTTCTATATCATGTGATTAGTAATATGCTATTATACCAAAATAGATTTTTAAGGGATTGATGATACAGATAAATTTCTTTCCCATTCCTTACATATGAATAATGATGAGAATCAGCCGTCCAAAGTTGAAATGAAAGATTGATTTTGAAACTACTAATGGAGAACCAACAAAACATATATTAAACTTCTAAACATCATTGAGAATCAATTGAAATGTCACCATTCTAATATTTCAAATAAGCAAAACATGTATCTTATGGATACATCCATGTTTTTGATATAAATTTTCAAAATAAAGCCAAATATTATAACAAAGATAAAACTTACTTTTAAGATATGTTGATTGAGATTTCCTGAAGTTTAAAGACATTTCTTGGATCATTCTAGCTAAAGATGAAACTATATTTGTGGATAATTTTCTCTCCTGATTAGTACCAATTTGACTTTTACTACTAATCTGATGTACAAGTCTTTGGCATCTTGTGAACATCTGTAAAATAATACAATATTAATTTTACTGACATCAACAATGCAAATATCATGTTATTCCACCACACATTCTTCAAAACTTGATGAAAATGGCCATTTAGAAGTAAGCATCATGACCTTGGAAATAAAAACCAACCTTTACTAGGTATATCAAGCTTCTTAAGATATTAGTACAATATTTTGTATTTACTTGATCATGAAAGAAATTTATTAACGCTTTCGTGTATGATCAAAACTATGTTAGTAACCACAGACCTGTGTGATTTCTTGTGTTTGTATTTCTATAGCATGTTCTTCATCAACATTATCATCTAATGTAGGGCGATTTAAATGTCTATCATGAAGAGCAGACAACTCTTTCACTGAAAAAATATTAACATGTTTTGAATAAAAACAAGCCAGGCAAACGAAACAATTGGCAAAATTTCAAATATTTTAACAGAATCCAAAATATATCATATCAAACATAGTAGCCTATATTGCAAGTGTTACCAATTTATAACTGATAAAGACAAAAATAACTACTTTTTCTCTTAATTCTTGATGCCTCAAATTGGATTTCTTCCACACCATCCACCCTGAAAAGGAAAGAATGAAATTAAACATAAACTGAAATTTGTTATCAACCACAATAATAAATTCAATAAAAAGCCTAATATTTTTGGACTGAATACTTAACACAATAGGCCATTCACAAACAAGAATCAAATAATGAAACTTACCATTCTGGTGGTAAATTAGACGATCTTGATGAAGCTATTCCCAATTCAGGATCTATAGAACTTGTCATCAATGCCATTCGGTCATCAGCAGTCTAAAATTGCAAAAGGAAATTAATGAATCATTACAAAGAAAGAATAGCTTTCTAATACTTAATACCTCTTATATCTACAATCTAGGCTACAATAATGTAATAATGTATATGATATGTACTTTTGACTGTCTGTTGTAGCCTGTAAGCTATCTGATTTTCTGTTAATTTTAATTTTCAAAATGCAAAGACAAAGCAAAATATGTGATATTTAACTTAATGTCATGGTTCATGGACCGGAGGTGTGGAAAATCTCCATAAAACAGGGCCTAGTTTTCCTGACTCTATACCAGCCAACACCTGTCATAATAGCTATCAAAGGCTGGAAATTTTTTGGACTAGGGCCTTGCAAGAAAATCACTTTTAGGGTACAAACAAATCTAATTAAGCTGATAAAAAAAGTTTAGCTTACCTGTTCTGAGAAAATATGCCTGCTTTGAAGTGCATTGTTTCTCATCAAAATAAACACTTCTGTCAGACCTCTGGTCGCCATTCTGACCACTTCTTGACCCTTTCAAAAGGGTCTTGTTAGTATTTGCTTCCAAGTATGATTTCAAACCGATTATTATTGGATATGTTAAGTGAAAACCATGTCAAACTTTTAATTTTGGACAAAATGCAAATATTATGAATGAATGAAAAACCGGTGAACATCTCATTTCCGGTAATTTAAGTTCGTGAGTTATGTCCCTTGGTTTCAAGACTTTTAATTACCGATTAATATTTAAACAAGCGCACCAAAATAATAAATTATGGAAAGCGCCATCTGGAAGATTAAATTAAAAATCTATTCTTTTAAATAAACCAAATTAATCTTTTATTCTATTGATTTCTTTGAAGGGCAGTATGCAAAATTTTCCTTATCAAAAACGTCGTCAATTATATCTGAATCTTTGATTATCTACTTGATCAAACTGGATTTGTTTTAAAAGGGTTAATTAAAAACGGAGAGTACTAATTAACAATAAGCATTTTGACCCAGTTTTGGTTGTTGACCTTAATTAATGACCCAGGGTTAACATGAATATTTCATTTTTTTTTTATATGGCCTAGTCTATGATGCTATGATGCTATGATTCATATTTGAATCCCATTTGTTGCAAACTTCTTTATTTAACCCTTTCTATAAAAGCTAGTTTTCCTTGACAGTCAAATTTTGGAAAGTAAATTTGACAAAGTTTTCCTGTTTTATCTAAAGCTGGATAATAAAGTTTTCCAACCAACATTTGCTAGTAAAATCCCCAGTAATGACAAGTTGATCAACAATATCATTTACAAATTCCAGATGACAGTAGGCCTTAGCAAAGATAAAGAGGCGATTCATCCAAAACAAGCCAATTGGGTTCTCTGATAGGGAACTCGTTTAACTTGTAATTTCCATATTGTTGATAGGCCTATTTGTATTTTTTCATATTAAAATCTGAATAGTTTTGATCAACAAAAAGAACTAATGGAAAGAATTCAAAAGAGATTTTCCAGCCCATTCTGAAACTTATGGTGGATTTGGTATGTTTGATTTTATTAGCTGTTGTTTTGTTATGTGTGCATATTTACTAGTCAAAACAAATCAAAAACCAATATAATTGAGGAGGTAATTAATGAATATAACTTTATATTATTTCTTTTAAACTAAGTTTGTAGCATACATCATTAGCTTCACTGACAGAATTGCTATAGTTGTAAATCCAAATCATTGGCACAGACTCTTGATGTGAAATCACAGAGTAGATATCTCAGATACACTGATCCCAACAATGTCATTCTCCTTTTACATATTAAAAATATTGTTCATGTATTGTCAAAAAACTTTTTAATATTTCTAGCACATGCCATTCCAACAATGTTTCCAAGGCTCTGTAACAAAGAAACCAAATATATATGATAGTTGACATGAATTAAATACAATAATCTTAAATCCTAAAAAAAATGGGATCTGAAGTTAACTCTAATCATGTTTTGTTTTAATTGCGCATTAAATATTTTTCAGATAAAAATTGATAATCTTGATTTTGAGTAAAAAATAAATTTAAATTTTATTCCCCCACGGCCCCCAAACACTTTAACAAATGAATACAGTTATATGTTTGAAATAAAGCAAAATAATAAGATATACCTCAGTTGGTGCATTACAGACATCCTTCAAACCTGAAATACAATTAATTCAAGTAAATATTCTTTTAGCAACATTTAGGGGTAGATATCACTTTAAATAACGGAACACAATTTTATTGTTTACTACTTCTTAGTTTTATTACACACTACGTTTCAAGAATCTACATTGTCATCATCAGGTGAATGACAATGTAGATTGTTGAAACATAGTATGTAATAAAACCCTGGATTAGAATAGATTTCTGTCTTTCCCAAGATGAAAAAAAATAATCAGGACAATTTCTTTGATTAAAAATTAAATATAAGATATATACTTTTGTAAGTTTGTAGAATTAATTTAGCTTTCACTTCACCCAATTTAGGGACACACATTAAAGTATTTAATACAGCCTCATCATAACTACACGGTTTTGGTTTCTTCATCAAAGGATTAATGTCAGTTTTAATTTCCACATGTACCTGGAAAAGAGCATTAAAAATATATAATTTTATATGCAGGGAGGATTATAATAAATTAGGAAAATTTTTATACGACCAATTCTCTCTCCATTAGTTTGTAATGAACATTATTTATGGCTTTGTGATATTCCTACTCTTTGTTCTATAATTAAAAGAATTCCATGACTTCCCATGCAATTATGAATTAAATTGATCTTATGCGAACAGGTCACCAAAAAAAACTGTACACCAAAATCATAAATTAGTACATCTATAACAAATCAATCACTGGCACCTACACAAGTCATCAAAAAACATACCATTTGAATCAGCAGCTTAGCAGCTTCCGTCTGATTTTCAACTAACAACAAAACCATTCCTAATTCTAAATTGGCAAATTTCTGTAGATCTAAGATATACTGCTCACTGACAGGACTTTTTTCAGCTATCACAATACCTCTTACTTTATTTGCCTTAAAACAAAAAATAAATATAAGAAAATATTCTCAGGACTGGTATTTCACATTATTTCTAAACAACAACATCTATTATGCATCAAGGATTAGCACAGAGAAATTATTTTATTCATCATTTTCGTAGTATGTATCACCCTTTCATGAAATCTACATGTCACTTCTTAGTGAGGTTTATCAATTAAGCAAAACTCCTCCTATGAACCAAAACATACCTTTCTTAATTTAGCCAATTTCCTTTTGTAACCAGTTGAAGAAACAATATCTGCCTCACTAATATAAATAACCCCTGTATAATTTGATGGATAAAAATCAACCACAGCTAAATTGTCTTCGAAATGGACAGGAATTGATGCTGGAATACAGAATAATTTCATTATAGAACCCATGATTGTTATATTTTGTTACAAAATGTAATGAAAAAAAGTTTTATATATCAAATTCATATCCTTCAAATTAAAACTAGATTACAATTCTGTTTCTTGGATAGCAAGTAGAGGAATGTGACAGCCTCTATGTGTTTTCGCTTTTCCAGAATTCATGGGTGTTATCCGTTGGTATGTCTAGTGAGGATCGCAATGGAAATTGACAGAGGAAATATATTTCCCAGTCAGTGTTCAATTCTCCAAAGCAAGTGTCAGACTGAGGCTTCTACCTGTGACAAATCTTATGTCACAGGGTGTTTCAGCTTTTCGAAATATTACTTGATAACCTGAAGTCAAGAACGAGCTCCAATCCTGAGTCTGAGAGTATGGAAGCTGGTGAGCCGAGAGGCAGTGCATTTATAGTCGTATAGACTATTATTAGTTATTACATTGTAAAACTTCAACCAAGTCCGAATTACGCCATCTCCCACTAACAACGATGTGTCCTAGAGGAATTCTTATTAGTCCTGCCATTGTACTGTTCTCGGTTGTATCAAGTTGATTCGATTTTGTGTTCGACATTTTGTTTACACTTGAACCAACCGCCATTTTGTCCAATGATATCACGTGATAGCATCACTACTTGAAGCCACTTGAAGAACTTGAAGTTCTTATTAGGCTATAGTCTATGCACTGGGCAGTGAAGACAATTAACAAGTTTCTTTCAGAAATATAAGGGTAATCGTGTTTACTTTTCAACCTTTGTTGATGATTTGCTATAAATTTTAAGTCGAAGTCGTAGAACAAAACTTATCAACAAACTTTCCTGACGTCTATCGCTACTGACTTGACAATATGAGGCAGTTACTCATATTTTCGGTAGTAAAGAGACTAATTTTGTTTAGTCTTTTAACTACCGAAAAATAAGTTACTACCAACAACCTTTCACAGCGTTGCAAATAGTTTTGGTTGAAAACTAAATAATAATTTTGTATGAAAAACTGTGTGAAATGCCACTTTGAACATCAGTTTTGTGAAAGGTAGACATTTTTTTTGTAGGTTGAAATTTGAGTGGCTGTCATGTATCCGTATTGCTTTGTTCTGGTAACTAGGGAATGTATGACCGGTCGGACCATTACCGTGTCGGACCATTACTGGTTCGGACCTAAAAAAAAATGTTTATAACCAACTCGGACCAATGATATTTTTCTCACTACCGACTCGGACCAAGGTTTTTTTTCTCACTACCGACTCGGCCCACTAGACTTGGACCAATACCTTAGTGACTCGAAGTAATTTTTACGACAGACTTGGATCACATTTTTTATAAATTTGGACCAATACCTTACCGACTCAGACCACTTTTGTAAACAAATTGAAAGTAAAATGGTAAGGACAACTCTCACTAGGACTCAGAACAATGTTAAAAGACAATGCATATGGCGGCCATTATATTGACCGTGTTTTATATATATTAAACTTTATTTTCAATGTTTAGATGTCCCTGAAAAGGGCCGTTTAATTATTTAGGGCGAAGATGGCACCACACTTCTTTAATAGTTGGCTGGTACTCATTTCACCTTCTGCTTGCTTTGATATCGGGAATGGGCACTAAAGGCAACGATAGTCTTGTACTCACGGCTGAGGGTACAGGAATAATCTCGTCTAATCCCTTAACTAATCTCAATGAACAATTCACATCAGAGTGATAATTAATACCTAATAATTGGTTGAGTATTGTTAATTAAGACTTGGTCCGATTAAAATAAAAAATAGTGGGCCGAATCGGTATAGGTCCGACACAGTAACGATCCGAGTTGGTAGTGTAATGAGTGGGCCGAAACGGAAACGGTCCGACCAGTCCTGATTCCCTAGGAGGGTATTCGGTTAACTCGGTGACAAATTTTTGTTGGTTAACTCAGTGACAAAATATCACTCGGCGACACTATTTGCCGAGTCAACTCGGTTTCAGATTTTGTCTTTTGGAGTTCATGACTTATCTTATGACTATGAATTGAATGTATCAGTGTTTAGCAACCATGTGATATAATTATGTGCATTATTCAAATAAAGTTTATTTCTCTTTAGAGTGCATGCGTCTGTATTGATTTTTCAAATGTGTCTCAAATTCCCAGTAGGAAATTTATCGCTTCCATGAGGTTAAGGAATAAAGCATTATGTGCATATTAGCCATAGGTATTCAGTCAACTTGTCTACAAAGTATACAAATTCTTATGCATGCTCTTTTAAAAAGTAATTCAATTTTTAATTAATAAAAAGTTTAACTCTAGCACAGTAGAATATAGTAATAAACTCGCTCAAAAAAGAAGACTATTATGTTAGAAAACCTCCCCAGGATATGCATACAGGTAGGCCTAAATACACAATATAAATAATCTATATGGTGATGTTTAAATACAAAATCTTTATTTTATAAATTCACATTTCTTACATCCACTTTGTAAAGTCTAAGTTAGATTTGTTGTAGACATTTACCAAATAAAACATTTCATTTTACAGAATTAACAAATACCGGTAGCACACATATTTTAATCCACAATAATCTACTAGCGTTTCTTTCATCTCCCATCAAAACTGTTTTAATGATGTTAAAGAAATATTTATGAAAGCACTGCAAAACTGACAATAAAAGCTGATCCTTTTTAATTTAATAGACCATACACCGTACATTGTAGATTAACAGTTATTGGACTATCTTCTGATTGTGCTCTAACCATTTCACATAAAGCAAGAAATTGATAATTTTCAATATCAGGATCTTTTACTGCTTTGTCTAAGATTTTTCTCAATTTCAAATTGTCTTAAGTCAGTTCTTTCCAAGAATTTCATTCGTTCAATGTACCTAAAATTAAAAACAGTTCAGACACAGGTTAATACAACAGTACAACTTAAAGCCTAATCTTCTAAGAATTTACCTGTATATTGACCTATACATCATACATATGATAATCCGAGGAAATCTGACCATATCTACAAAGTCAGAAAGATGATTTTGACTTGTCAACTAGGTTAGAAATGTACTATTTATACGAAATACAGCACACATTTCAATAAGCAATATCCACAAGTTGTACATGTCTCTTTCAGCCTTTCCCAGGCAATTTGCAGTCAAATTCATCTTTGGGAGCCAGTAGAGTAAATCGTGTTTTGAACCCTAGTTCAGAGACAAATGACTATACAATAAACATATTCAATGGCATATTATTGGTTTTGGTTCAGTGGATGCTTGTTTTCACAGCAATGATGTAAAATGTTGCTTTTAAAGATATTGTCATAATAATATTCCATTCAATACACAGTTGTACCATGATCTTTGGTTTACAATTACTTATACAATATAAAAGTTAGAACCTGAAACTATAAAGCCTCATTTTGTCAAAAACAAGCAATTTATATTCACAAACAAGATAATCTTACCCTTGTTTACTGTTATTATGGATTTTTAATTCATCTTCAATACCTTCATCTTTCTTAAAATTATTCCAATCCATTTTAGATTTCTCCTGAAATAGAAATACAAATATGATTACCAAAAATAAATTTTGTGTGACAGGATTGTTTGAACATAAAACAATGAAATTCAATAAAACATCAACAAATATCAAATATCATTCATGGAAATACTAATATTCAGAGTGTAAACAATATAGCATTTCCTTCCAAAGATGAGTCAAATATGGTACACAAGATGAAACAGTACTAAACATTACTTTGTTAGATAAAACAATGAATGGGTACTTACCAGGACGCTGATCTTTTGTTTCTTTCCAATTTTACTGAGAATACCTCCTAATCCACCCCCACTGGCTGGTCTTTTTATTCCACTAAAATATAACAAAATATCATGTTTCCATCATTTCAATAATTGAATATGATAGATCACATTAACTATATCATATTAATAAAAGCTTATTCAATACTCAGTTACTTGTGATAATAAGCGAGTAATTAGACAAGCATAGCTTTGTCATGACCTGTTACTATCTTTCTTTGTAAGTAGCCTGAAAACATACAGTTGAAAATATATCTTTGATCAGATATTCCAGATGTAATAAGAAAATTCAGATGCACATAGTACTTTAAAACCTCTGTAGTTGATCTTCAGCATAGTACATCACACACTACTTATTCAATCACCAAGACAAATATCATTAAAATCAAATTTTTTAGTCATCTATAACAGTGTGAATGATAGGCTAGTAATGTATATTTACTTACATATTTGATAATACTGAAGCACCAGAATTAGTGGCTGTTGATCCCTCTTTTTCTTCCTCTTTTGATTTCAATTCTTTTTTAGCTTCTTTGGAATCTGCTGCTACAGTTTTTGTTACCCTGATACAACAAGTATCCATAATAAATCAAATTTTTCAGTAAACACATCATATTCTAATACTTTAATTCAGTCCATCACTAACTCGCAAGACCCAATATCACTAAACTCTAATACGACAATACACAATCTAAAATCCTTCAGTTGTATTACTGTGAATAGAGTAAGTGAACAATATCTGTGATGAATTTGTGTCATAACTTCATTTCATCTAACAGGTCATTATTACAATAAGACATGGCAATATCATGAATTTCTAATTTTAGCTTATTTATAAAGAGACTTTGCCAATATGTCTGTATAAAATATAGATTGTTGTCAAAATGTTTTAAAACAACTTTCTCCGAGCATAATGTATTGTATACATGTATACACTAGAATCCATCTTTAACTAAAAGTGTAATAAATATTTTCTACACTTACTTGACCTCTTCTCCAGCAAAATCAAAAACTTTGGTAATTTCTACTGTTTTATTAGGCGCATCATCACTTTTACTGACTGATGGTGAAGCTTCACTTTCTTTACTTTGCTTCAAAATAAATAGTTTTAAGAAATATATTTAATCCTTTTTTGACATATGTTTATCCTTGATTAGATATCCAAACTCCCAAGTTTGACAAGCACTAACTCATATGTATTCAGAGTAACTGTTACGTCAAGATTCACTACAATTAACACAAGCTCAACACTTCACAAGATGACAAATTATTTTTACCGTGAATAATTTATTTGATCAGATGTTATTTTAGACATGTACGAAAAAAATGAATACATGTACAGGTCACATGAAACATACCCCCACAAGTGAATTGTATATATTTGACAAACAGTAGTTTACACATGTTTAAGACCAACCTTAGAAAGTGTACATAGACTTCCTAAACCCGAGGAAGCAGTCACTGTTTTCTTAGATGAGGGTTTAACATCTGTTAAGAAACTATTCCATAAATCATCAGCCTTTTTCTTTTCATTAACTTCTTTCTTTTTCTGTTTTTCTTCTTCTATTTCCTTTGCTAATTTCACATTTTCTTCATCAACTTCTGTTTCTTTATTTTTGTCAGTGGTTTTTTCTTCATCTAGTTTAATACCACCTTTCCGTTTCCTAAAAATACAAGTTTGATTTAATTAAGAATGTACTTTTGAGCATAAATACAACAGTTAAGATATAAAATATAAAACAAATGAATAAATTTGTGTTTCTCAGTTTTGTGCCAAAATTTTTGTTACTTAATAATAATCAGGTTTTCTTTTTGACTCCAAAATATGACTCCTAGGTTGATTAAGTCAAAGATAGCATAAATAAAATGTGCCGAAAAAGCAACCATCAATATCATTCTACAGAAAGAAATGACAACATAAAATCTACTCATTGCTTCTATTGAATCAAATGATCTGATAATGACAGGATAAGATATTACCTGGGTTCCAAACCATTTTTCTTTGGTTGTTTCTTCTGTCTGGGCCCAGTAAGTTTTTCATTGTTACCCAAAACTGACAAATCCTCATCTTCTCCAGAATTCTCTTCTTCACTTACATCTTCAGCTACAAAAATTGTCAATAATGAACATATTTTTTCGAGTTAAAGTAGAATATCTGGTTTTATGTTTTGATGAACTCATTAATGGTTTAGCTTTTAATAGATACCAAAAATTATGCCAAATTTGGCTTATGTCATGGTAAAAATTCTCAAAAATATTCTCCAGAAATGGATGGGAGCAACTCCTCTAAAAAAGTGAAATATTATATCTGGTCCTAAATCTGTGGATATCCCATACGTAACACGTCTTATGAACGAGAATGTTCAGATTGTCTGCGTAAAAAGCACAAGCAAGCACTGACCAAGATCAGCCATGCCTTTTTACATATGAAGTTCAGCCATGCCTTTTTTACATATACAAAGACTAGCGCTAGTCCTTAACAGAAGTAAATCATTGTGACATGCCAATCAAATCACTCATGCAACATGGTCCTTCAGTAAAATGGCATAGATACAATATTTTCCCACTACTCGAAGATCGATCAAAGGATGGGTGCACCCGCGAATCAACATGATGAAGTTATGCCAAACAAAAACAATGGTAGAATTCAGCTTCTAGTGTACTTTATTACAGTGTTTGAAGAATGCGTCAGAATGGGCGTTTTGCCCATGCCGTAGAACGGAAGCAAGTGTGTAAATAGCAACTGTGCATGCCGAAATATGCATTTTGTTTATTGCTGTTGGAAAACGCGATGGATAACTAGCTACTGTTAAAACAAAATAATGTCAGTTTGAAAAGGAGTTTGCCACTGCCTATTGTTGAATAGTGACCTGTTGCTTGCCAATAGTAACTCATTTCTTTTCAAGCACTCTAATCTACAAACTACAGTACACTGTTGGAAGTACTACCCGTCTACTGTTTGATTAGCATCAAGTAAACAAGTCCGAAACAGAAACATTTGCCTAGCTATACTATCCCCTGGTAGATATTTTGACAGTTATTGGCTGGAGTAGAGTCAGAAAAACTAGGCCCTATTTTATGAGGATCTGTCACACTTTTGAAGATGCGTTTTTTCTCATAAAATATTAATTTACCTTTACGATGAGTGTAAATTATTGTTTTTTAGTATTACAGGACTCTGTGAATGACCCATGAATTTTTGGCTCCCAAGATGTCCAGCACTCAATGACAAATATAAGGGGTAATCTTAGGCAGTTTTAAACATTTAAATGGATTCCTTTCACACATTTGACACACATAAATACTTAAACGCCATGGTCTAAAGTGGGTGATCTTCACCAACGCTCCTAACAGCATTCCTGTCGACAATCGCTCCTCCAGTAGAAATACAAAAAAATACTAAAAAAATAGGAATTGTCCAGCAGCCGGACAGCCTGCGCTCGGCACCCAGTTTTAAATGGCCCATGTGAAAACAGTTCCGTTAAAAAACTTTGGACTTGAAGACATGACATAATTGGTGTAGGCTGTAGGGGGTTTATTTGAGTACGACTGAACAACAAAAACATCCATATTTCTGAATGTATTTGGGCTGACAGGTTGGATTTTAATAAATAGGTTTAAAAAACGTGCACCTTCGGAGGTGTGGAAAAGGTCCCACAATACAGGGCCTTGTTTTCCTGTCTCTATATCAGCCCACAAATTTCAGAATAGCTATCATTTCACACTCACAGACCCAGAGACAGAAGAGAGGCAGAGGCTGGAGAATACTATCTATAATTTATCATGCAGACGTACCCGCTGGTATATAATCAAGATCATCTTCTGAATCATAATCTTCCTCATCTGACATATTGTTTAAAAATTTGAGGTTCAAAAATACATGAAAATGACAAAGGAACTTAGCAGCTAATATAATAGCATTATGTTTGTGATTTCCTTAGACGCCATTAATTTACTTCGGCTCAATTTAACAGGCCGGTCCAAACCATTAGCTTCCAAAATACTCATTCTGTCACATTCAGAGTAGTCTGTACCGACCTGAATATTATTCTGAATTCTGGTTGTACTTTGTTTGAAGCGTCTCGTCTATAAAATACCCAAAACGTTTAACAAAGGCAAAGGTCATTAAGATAAGTGAAGTATAATAATATTATATGGAAATATATAGGCTCTTGTATTGGAGCCATATAGCTTGTATCAAATTCTTAAAAATCTTACCCAGTGATAATAATTATATTATTTCTTATAATGATTTCGCGCTTTCATTAAACGAGTTAATAACTTCCGCTACATTAAGAGAAATGTTCACTTTTTTGCAACTTTCTGATTTGTTTAGTTCTCAATCAGCAAGAGTACAAGGGAGAATCTGTTTCTTTAGCGATATGTTTATGATGTATGATGCCGTCTCTGACCGTCACTAAATAACTGGCACCAATTGCTTAAGAGCAAAGTGAGAAACCATTTTAAGGAATACTATGTCTCAGTATGAACATACATAAAATTTAAGAATTTTAAACTTGGCCAATAAGAGCATACAGTGAAGTAACCTAATTTCGTGCTAATCAATTTTTCGAGCATTTCCGGAAATGATTAATAATTTATATGTGCGACCTCGCGTGACCTCCGCATTTGCTTGTTTTGATAAACATGGGTTTTCTGTACAATGTCAGCTAGTAGAATGAATCCAGTAGTTTCAAGCAAGGTAAAATGTATTAATGTATACTTTGACAAATACAAAATGGCGGATTTCAGTTATTACCAAACGTCACCATTTTTTATCGGCCGAATTTCCTTATAATCCCAAGTGGTAATCGGAATTCCAAGTGTCGTATGCTAGAATGTAGTCGAACGAATGAGATCACGTGATCAACTAGCGGATTCCGTGTCAGCAGAAAATTTCGATGGAACACAAAGTGGGCCATATTCTTATGTTGTTTCAGTGACTTTTAGCAATAAATCACGCTACATATCTTATTTTGTCAGTCACTATTTTTTTTTTAAATCGTGGTTCTTTGAAGGAATTGTCACTAGTTATAATGAATTGATATTAAAGATAAATACTAAGAGAAGTTAATTATACCACCCGGTATCCATACAACATATTTTTCTCGACTTATTTATAGATCAAACATTGTACACGAAAATAGGTGACGCATTCTGCTGCTGTTGCCGAATTGGTTGCTCATGAAATATGGGTCAAAGTGAAGAATTCATAAAGAAAATCGAAACAAACCAATTTTAATTATTTTGTAGAATATCTGAGGAAACATTTAAGACATAAAAAAAAAAATTCTTTTTTTTAACTTTGACGAAATTCGATGTTGAATCCTTATATGCACGAAAATAGGTTAGACCACTGTATATTCATCACTATCAGTGACAGTAGATATATTTGGTGTCATAAATAACATAACAGGATCCTTATATAATCCAATAAATCCAAAAAAACTTAATAATTATCTTTTCAATATTTACTTAAGTTTATGAATTTTCCAGATTTTACAGAGGTTCTGTTGTAACTTTATGACACCAGGTAAGTTCACAGATAAATATACACTCATATTGACCATTCTTGAGAACTTAAATTTCATTCTAAGAGTATCACTTTAAAAGGTAACGGTTAATACTGTAAAGTGTAGTGCACCAATCCTGGAGTTGCAGTATTTACGTCAAACTATTTAAACTTAAAAGAAAAGTCTCAATTATTTACACTGACTTAATAACAATCAATAGATATTGTTACTGTATATGAAAATTAGATGTTAGTACAGTTACGGTTCTTCATGAAAAGATACATTCACTAATTGGCACAAGTTCCGAATTCCTTACCTTAATATTAAACTTACGCATTTGTGAAATTTATTTGAAGGAAAAATCTGTTAAAACTTTCTGCATTTTATAAATTGAATATTATTATAACATCCTGGTAATGAATGATGTTAATTCTATTTCTAAAAATATACTTTTATCTTACAGCACGTAGAGATGGCATCGGCTGGAAAAGATTTTAAAACTGAAGATTTAGATTCAGTTTTAAATGTGATAGGACTGTCACCTAATGATCCTCTAGATAGTTTTGGGGGTAATTTAATACTTGATTCTTGATAACAAGTTTATCTTTTAAAAAAAGGAAATATACGCCTATCATTTCTTAAAGTTTTATCTAAACATTTCAACACACCTGCAAGATCATGTAACATTAGGCCTAACTATTATGTGGATACAATAATTTTATATTCAGTACAAGCTTACAATATAAAATGATTTAAAAATAAAGCTAATTTTGTTATTTACTTTTTAGAGATGTGGTATCAAGTATTTCTATGGACATTGTTTTCCTCTATGTTTGTGCACATCATTGCTTGCTTGATTTCTTTGTGTCAGTTACGAAAACACACAGTAGGGCGATGGATACCTCTTAGTGTTTTTGCCATGGGTGTTATCTCCCCTTTGACTGGTGGAGTTGTGTCAAGTAAGCATTTTTTGTTTGCATGTGAAAGTTCATCTTCCTTTCAAAGGCTACTCTTGTATGTGGGCTACTAATTGTTTTGTAAACTCTGAGAAACAGCATCTTTGTTAATGGTTTATTTCGTTTTTTATCCTCACAGTTTATCAAAGATGTTGATAATGAAAAGCTTAATTGGTGACACCTGGCCGACCTTTTGCCGGCTGCATAACAAAAATTTGTGTTTAAGCTTGTGTATATCTATTAACACTTGATGACTTAAATTTCTTTCATGGAGCTGGGCTACTTCTAGCAATTACATACTAGACTGAGTGGCTGTCACATGTTAAAACTGTTTCCATTCATTCTATAATATAGCTATGTCTTATTTTCTTGTTTTTCATTAAACTGGAAGATATTTCAATTTTTTTTGTGTTAAATACCTTTGTCCAATTGATATTTTTTTTACAGTACATAGAAACTAGTAACAACTTTGTATAATTTGTTTGCATTTCAGGTGCTGCAGTTGCTGCCTTGTATAGAGCATCTGGCTTTGTTATGATGCCTTTTTATGCCTTAGTTTGGGGTGTGGGACAAACAATAATTGTGTGTTTTGTGTCGTTTACACGAATATTAGCAACTTTATAACCAAAGAGTGTAACAATGAAACTAAGCATATCTGTGATAAAATTTTGAAAAGTTGGAATGTTTTGATAAACTGAAATCAGTTGACTTTTCATCAAATTAAATCTGTTATGAACTTGGAATAGCAAACCCACAGCCAGAAGTTATTGCATGTAGTTCAAGACTACGCTTAAAGGGGTACAACTCTTAAATTTTACAACTGTTACTGTTTCCTGTTAAAAGAATATCAGTTTTTAAGGATTCATTCATACATTGTTTATCAAGAGGTAAACATATTACACTCCCAAATTTGTTTAAGGTTTTTTTTTTTTTTACTTTACTGTTATAAATCAAAATGAATTCAATTGCATTCTAGCAATGTTTAGCTGAGTGACTGAAAAAAATTACTGTACTTCAGACCACTTTCATTATTGAACAGTATTTAGTGCAATGAGTTTTTTTTACTGTTATTTATTACTTATTAAATTGCAGCCGTGGCCTATTTATTGGTTATTTGTTATCTGATATTAAAGATCTATGACATGTTTATTAAGAAGGTTTCACCCCAATATAAGATTAGTCAAGATTCAAATCATGGCAGTATGTATATTTTTGTTTCATTGTTTTTGAGCCTAATATTGTAAAATTATTATAAAAAAATAAATTTTCCATGGCAACATAACAGCAAACTGTCTGTGTGTAATTACTATAAATTATCACAAAATGTATGTTAAATAAAGAAATATTGAGAGAGTTCCAATGTAGTAGTAGTGGAATTCATGAGGGAACTCATTAAAACACTTTCATACCTTTGATCCCAGAATTTAGCCACAGGACATAGATGCTGGTCTCCAACTCATGATCTTTATGTTAGCTTGATATTGGTTGATATCATAGCATAAACTACATATCATTATTAATGGGATTATAAAAAGGCTTTCTTAACTTTTTATGTGTATGTGATACTAATAGTATTGAATCATACCATTCAAATTTTCAATCAGACGTCTGTGGATCTTGCAAATCCAATTAAACTAAGTGATGGATGATTTCACTTAGGTATTATTAGAAACTTTGAGATAGTGACATCATTGAACGCTTAGATTTGGTGCAAATTTATTTTATCAATGTCCCCAATACACAAAAAGTTTAGAAAACCTTATTTACAATCACTTTAATAATTATATCTTAAATATACTTTAAACATGTTTTCAGAAACGACCCAGTTCTGATATGGCTGGTTTTAGAGAAGAATTCTCCAAGGCAAAACACATAGTAGTATTAACTGGTGCTGGGGTAAGTGCAGAGAGTGGGGTACCAACATTCAGAGGTGCTGGAGGTTACTGGAGGAAATGGCAAGCTCAGGTAGATAATCAGTTATAAATGAAACAGTAGTTTAAAAGGGAAACAGTCTAATAACATTCAATTCTACTAATATTACTTTTTTATCTAGAATTTCTGAAAGTTAGATAAAAGTCCTATAACATATAGACAACTAAGCTTGATTTGAATTATACTTTCAAGATATTACCAAGGCATAAAACAAGAAAACAACAAAATTGCTGATTGAATAATTTTCATAAGAATTAGAGGCACAATAAATATCTGTAAAATGATCCAAATTGATTGTAATTTCTGAATATTTTTCTAGCAACTGGCATCTCCTGAGGCTTTTACTGACAATCCATCCTTAGTATGGGAATTTTATCATTATAGAAGAGAAGTTATGGCCTCAAAACACCCAAACCCAGTAAGTTGTTTTAACAGATACTATTAATATTATTATGCTTTCTCCAAATTACAAAGAAAAGAAAATATATTTATTATATGCATTGTGCCTAAACTGTAAACAAAGGAAAATAAACAAAAACAAAAATTGAATACAAATGTATTTGAAGTAATTGACTTATCTGATTATTTCAAATTGTTAAGATGCCAAGTTATCAAATGTTATATTTGTGGTTTAGGCCCACATTGCCATAGCAGAATGTGAAAAGCGTTTAAAATCCCAGAATAGAAGAGTTGTGATTGTTACTCAGAATATTGATGGTTTACATAAAAGAGCCGGATCAGAGGATATTATAGAATTACATGGTAAGTTTTCATACACACAGGACAAACTCTCTAAAGCAATAGCTGAAAGTATTTTGCCTTTCAAACCTATTGCAGATTATTTCAAAACAGAGTTTCTTTTTTTAGAGAGGTGTAAAATAGGTGAAGCCAGTTCTCCAATCCTTTTCATAATTAAATGTATATCTTTGAATATAACTGTGAATAACATATTGTTGACTAATTTTTGAAGTATGTAACACAGATTTTAACTGAATACATTAGACATTAAGTATAAAATCATATAAAATCAAGTCATAAGTACTGTACAATCCTCCTCTACCTTACAAAGTCAGGCGCCCGTCATGCAAACAAGTCAACTAAAATATTGATCTTCATTCTCAAATGAAGACTCACCTTGGCAAATGGTTATTTGTGGAATCCATCATTAGAATAAAGTTTGTATTTAGACATTGTATTGAGCTGGGTTAGAATGTTTGCTGTTATATATTCAACATATTATGTTAATTTATTGTAGGTAATTTGTTTAAAACAAGATGTCTAAAATGTGGAGAAATAGCAGTTAATAATGATAGTCCTATTTGTGAAGCTCTACGAGGAAAAGGGCAAGTTTCAAATTTACTGATTTCACCTCATGATTAGAATTAATTCATCTTATTCTGCAATATTGAAACCCATAGTTTGTTAGTTTATATGTTGAAGTATCCTTTGATTACTCAGTCATAAGACAAAAGAGAAGTAAAACATATTTATAAAAAGTGTGAAATTATTTCAGGGCTCCGGAACCAGACGCTCCAGATGGTAAAATTCCTGAAGACCAGCTTCCAAGGTAAGTCTCTGGTTTTTGGTGATATCATATAAGTTCCTGTTCAGTATTTTTTGTTGTTCAGTGTCAATCTAAACCGTGATACAAAACAAAGACTGGAAGTATTCTAAACAAGATGTTAAATTTAAATTTTAATTTTTAGATGCAAGAAAACAGATTGCTCTGGTTTATTGAGACCCCAAGTTGTCTGGTTTGGGGAAAATTTGGATCCAAAAGTTTTGGACAAATCTTTTTCAGAATTAGAAAACTGCGATCTCTGTTTAGTGGTAAGTGTTGTAAAAAGTATTGAGGTGAGAAAATTGTTTAATAGAATTTTTCTCATTTCTTAATAATGTTCATATTGTGTAAGTTGCACAAATTTGCAATTTAACTTATTCATCTTCATACTCTTTATATATCAACAAAAAAAACCATTTAGTATATTGATTTGCTTTGTAAGTTCTAATACTAAACTATTTCAATGCAACAAATATTTCCACATTTTAACAAATTATTATTTGATAATGTAGGTAGGAACATCATCTGTTGTTTACCCAGCTGCCATGTTTGCACCACAAGTAGCCAGTCGAGGTGTTACTGTAGCAGAATTTAATATTGAAGATACTGTATCTACCGGGGTTTTTAAGTTAGTTTTCATTTAAGTGTATATCATTATCAACCCGTTGCCCAAAACAACCAAAATAATACATTCATAAGTTCCTTTTATGGCCAGATCACCAGAATAACACATAAATCTATAGTTACGCTGAAATTTGTTAATTCGAAGGATTATAGTAAATTTTCCATTGGGTAATGGCCAATGGTAGCACATTAATATGATATTTATGAAAGCATATTACATACTAATAGGCAAAGATATAATATTTTAACAGTGGAATTACTTTATTATTTTAAATAAATATATTTTATATTATCTTTGCCTTTTATTATACAGACTGCACCTGGAAATTTAAAATTCCATTTAAGCAAGAGTTAATGAAAACAGCATTATTCTTCCCTTGGTTATGTTTTTAGCACTAATGTTAGATCAATTCTTTTATTGTAGGTATCATTTTCAAGGACCTGCTGGAGAGAATTTACCAATAGCTTTAGCTTAACATGATACAGAATAACTGATTTAATTTCTATTCTTTCAATCAATATTTTCTTTATGAGATATTAATTTAATAATGAATCACAAACCGAACAAACTGATGCCCATCAAAACCATAAGCTTTAATACATACATGCCCATACTGATGTATATTTGAGATTGTATTTTATTTTATTATCTAATTATCTGGATCTCAGCTGTTTGCCTATAGTAGAGCTATGATATTGGTCCAATTAAAAACATGAACAGTCCTATTCAATTTCAGGAAGTCTATCAACACAATGTATAGTATCAGTTATCATTTATTTTAGTAATTAGCAGTCGTTGAAAGTCAAACAATGCTTATAATCATTGATTCCCAATCATAAGTCACCAACGTCTTGTATTTTGTTTGTTTGTGTTGATTAAGGAAATATAAATTTGCATTTTGTGTTAAGAGTTGACTTACATTGTAATTTCCTTCATCAAAACTATCATAATTAATCAAACAACTTTGCTCCACTTACTACTAGCTAATATAAAATTTTTTGTTTTGTAAAATATATTCTGAATTAAAGAAGATTTTTACTAAGAAATTAAGTTTTTCATAGCCAATGTCGGGTCTGATTCTATATTTTTATACGCCCACATGAAAAAATATTTAGTACGAGTTATTGCCCTTGTTCTTGAAAACGTGTTAAACTTTTAGTCCAAATATTTTTTTAAAGAACAAAGCTGCCAGTGGGTGTATATTACCTTGCCTGGCAAGCTATCTTTACAGTTGGCAAGGCTTCTCCATATTTTCAAATATGACAATTGACTGTACTACTACCAAAATAACATTATTCACAATAGTTGTAATGAAAACTTTGAAATAAATTAGACTTTTTTGGCTTGTCTCGTGTAAATTAGGCTATTTAAATATAGAATCTAGGGGTTTCATTGTCTGAAGAGACATACCCTATTTCTTTTGCAATAAAAGTCTATTCCAGATAACAATAATTTGCTCTAATTGAAAATACACGGTTAACATGAAATAAATGAAATATTTTCGATTTGATTTATGTGACAAATGCATTATTTACATTGAGTGTTCATAAAATATCATTTAGATTTTTTACTTTTAGGACCTTTCTTCTCGCTCTGAAATAACAAACACATTAACGATGTTAGTTTTTTTATTGATTTGATGATAACACGATAATTAAAGGAATTGTAAAGAGGTTTTCTATACTTGTTATGTTAACACTGATAATATTAATTTGCACCTTTTTAATTTTCATTCTGACGTCTGTGGTCTTGCAATTCCACTAAAACTAATGCGTTTTATGACGTCACTAGAGAGGAACTGCATAGATATCATTTGTAGCTTCCGGTAGCTCCCCTCTAATGACGTCATAAAACGCATTGGTTTAAGTGGAATCGCAAGAACCACAGACGTCAGAATGAAAATAAATATGGTGCCAGTAACATCACCAGTATTATTCACATGAGATATGATTATTAATATATGCATAAAAAGGTTCATCAAAACCAGATAAAAACTCTAATCTATCTTATCTCAATACAAGTAGACAAAATGAGAGATACTGAAATATGCAACTACATTTTCATAACCATTTCACATAATGATATGCATGAATGAAAGAAAATTTATAGATTTGAGAATAAATGTGCATAATATGAAATTTACCTTATTTTTGATATAACCACCCTGTTCAAGTATATTTCTAGCACAACAATTTATATGTTTAAATCTATCGGGACCTAAATGTATACCACCATACCACCTTGTTATAACAACTAATACATTCGTAGCTTCTAAAATCTGTTATAAGTATATAAGAATCATAATAAAAGATGTTGAAGAATATAATTTTGTTGGTGAATTTGACTGAATTCTTAAGATCATGAAGCTGCTTTGAGATTATTCAACACTGTGTTCATTGCATCCAAGGCTAGGTGATATAAAGTGGAAATTTCAACAAAAACTAAGATTCTCTACCATGTATTTCAGAAATTTTATGTTTTGATTCAAAAAATAGTTTTGATTAAATTACCTCCATTAAATGAAGAATTCTATTTCCTGCATGTATTTCACCATCATCTTTACAATCTTGATACCAAACAGTATGTTTACCTTCTTTACATATTCTATATTTGATAAATGTAATACAAGTGTGAATGTAAAAACCAACTTGACATCAAAAGGAGTGTCAAGGTAATAAACATTGCTACAGTGTGGCATCAGGTGTTCAAAAAGAGTGAGCATGAGCTATATGCAAGTACATGTAAATTAATGTCTTTAGGGTTTGTAACATTTATTTGTTGTTTATCATGTTGCATTTACAAGCAAATCTAATTATGAAAGACATAGTGTCTGTATAAACTGTATAGAATCTCACCTATATGCTTGTATATTATGTGTTGCTGCTGCTACTTTCCTATTTTCCAATAACTTTTCCATGACTAATTGCACCTATAAAAAATTATCATACCGCAGACATGACAATAGGATAATTTTTGTTAAAGTGACAGTGCAGGGTACATTTGTATATTTGTGAACCAACGAGACCATTACAATATACACCCAAATATTTGTGTGCTGTTGTAGGACGAAGTCAGACTTCTAAAAATAAAAACAACCTTTTTTTAAAATTATTTCGAATTACAAGCAAATATGATTTGAAGATTATTATCTAATACATTGAGGGCATAAGATTTGAAACATACTTCTTCCTCCGAATGAACTGGTGCTAAATGAGCTTGAAAGACACTTTTTCTATCATGAACAAATTCTCCATGTAAAATTTCTGGACATTTATTACCTGAAGCAGAAGTAGAACATATATAAGATTTTATTTTTCACTTCAATAATATTTTTCAGCAACAATTCTTTAAAAACATTTGAGGCTTTTAACAGTCATGCCTTATGAAATCAATATGCTCTATAATTTTGTTTTAAATGTGACTTACTTGTCTCCATTTCTTGTGTCTTTTTTTCATATTTCCCCGTATACTCATATTTATAATCTTCAAAATCTTCGTAATTCACAACATCTCCTCTTTCTTCCTCTTCTAGCTGTTCATCAATAACATCAATATCATTGACAGCACCAGCTTTTAGCACTCTATAATGGGCTGCAATAAAGGAAAGTTCTGTGTAAACTCTCTCTCTTAACAAGCCAAAACAATGTTTTACAAGAGACTGAATGTATCTGTTGATTAAACATCGATAAAAAACACCAATGACGTAGATTCACTGAAACCTGTTTCGTGATTTCACATAAATTTATAACATCAATGTAGTAGAAGTGATTTCATCTATGTTTTAACATTTCAAAAACCACTATTTACTTTAGTTGTACAGTTTATATGAACATTAAAATATAAAATCTAACCAATTATTACAGGCCTTATGTTATAACTTACCATGGTTGGCATCATCTAAAATTTCTTGTAAAAATTCTCTAATTTTCTCAATCCACAAGTAAATTATACTATCACCCATATTCTCTCTTAAAACAAATAGACAATTTTTGGGTTAAAAAGCAGTTAGCATGTAGTGAGACTTATCAGTGGTAAAAGGGAAAACCTAAAGAAAATTCATGTATATTCTACTAAACTTAGATAAAAGTTGACGTTCTCTTTCATAAGGATTTATGGAGCTACAATATTATAAAGAAATTTTGTCAAGTCAAAAGCTCATATGACTATCTGTGTTAATTTAAAATCTAAGCAAACATAAAGCTAGGACTAAAACAAGCTCGGTTTCAAAACCATCAAAACTAGTCTCCATCATTTACAGCATGTATCTTGTTCATCATTCAGCTGTTGATTAATCATGGAGTAATCAAAAGAATTAACTAATCAGTTTCATATAGAATACTGATATAAACCATTAAACTTACATAAATATATCAGCTAAACCATTATCTAATACCCTTCTTTCATCTTTACTTAACCAGGAGGCTCTTTAAACAAGCAAACATTACATTATATTTTATATTCCTTCATTTGAAGTTGTTCTTAAGTTGTAGAAATATCACTTTCAAGAAATACCAAAAGAGAGCGCCATATTTCATTTACTTTGCCCTGTGTCCTAAAAATAATTGCTATTTCCTAAGCAGTTGTGATTTATAATGATAGTGTGCAGAGCTTTTGTCAATAAGAAAAGATGGATTTTATTGTCATAATATATTTCTATTGCGTTGGAGTAACACACTAGTTTATTAGAAGGTATATCCGTTATTGTAAATTTGGTCAAACTAAATTTGTCACAGGTTAACCATCATAAGGTAAATCGATGACAGCAATAAGTCATAAAAGTCTTAGTTATTTGGTAACAATTTTGTTGGAGCCCTGTCTATTGCTCTGTGATCACTCACTTTGATAAACAATTTATTTATTACTGATACAACTTACTTGAGTTGATATTGAGGTGGTGAAGATGTAGGGTAATCATCTGGTAGAGTAAACTGTAAAATTATTGACTATCAATAACAATATGTGTCAAATAAAAACTTTTTTCAAATATCCTCACATTATTTACTTCAAAAAATTATGACTGATATTAAGGTTACAGGAAATGCCTGGATCATTTTTGTTGATTTTTAATTGAAATGAAACTATCTATAAAGAAGTGAGATAACAATCTAACTCTGGTTGGCTTTTAATCCATGTCAACTATCATAGTTTGGCTTCCTTAAGCCCAACGCAGACGTGGAACATTTCTGTCGACGAACAAAAACATCGAACAAATAAATTTGTTTTCCGTTATCCGCAGACGACAAACATAATTCCGCAGACGAGGAACATTTAGCTCGAACAATACGCCAGTGCCACGGAAAATCACATGACCTCAACATGGCGACGTCTAAAAGAAAAAGTAAAATTGCGTTAGCTATTTTATTAATTTTAAAAAGACGCCAACGTTGACGGTAAAATAGGAGCATTTGGGTCCGTATCTGGATTCAACGTCGTACAGAGCAGGGTGTGTTCGGCAACCTTGTACAGGAGCTGTCGGCTGACGACCCAGCAATGTATCGGCAATATTTCGGGGTTGACAAAGATGGGTTCAACACAATATTGAGGCAGATTGCGACCACATATCTACTAAAATCTGCTCCTTCTCCACAGTCCAAATTTTGTGTTGGTGGATTCACTGGACGTCGCCATTTTGAGTGTCATGTGGTCTGGCTTCGATCGCTGATTGGTCTTTCGTCGATGAATGTTCGGCGCTAATGTTCGTCGTTAACGCAGACGGCGAACAAAGAATTGTTCGGGAGGCGAACAATTTTAAAAAATCAAACATGTTTGATTTCACGAACAATTCTCACGAACATTTTTGTTCGTGTTTCTGTAATCCGCAGACGGTGAAAAAAATGATCGAAACAAAATTTTTATGATTGTTCGCTTAAAATGTTCCCTCATCTGCGTTGGGCTTTACATCAATTTTTAACATACATGTTGTCACTTTTAGACCTACCTGTAACACAATGTATTTATCATTCTGTTCATCTTTACAAACTTTTATTTCATATTCTCTTTTACTTTCATTTACCACTTTCAAATCATCATTATAGATAGCTGTGAGAGCTTCAATTTCTTCAACCTAAATTTGAAATAGTTGATGTCATTAGTTATTTACTTTTCAATAGGTATAACATAACATACAAGATACAGGTTCTAAATGTCTCTTACATTCTTACAAGTCATCTCTCGGCTCCAAGAGTGCTACGTAAAATGAGGATGGAGTTTTCTAAGAATTATGTAAAAGTGAAAGTAGGATTTGATATTGATGCTATTTTCGTATTCATGCATAAAATGACGTGTCATGAAAGTACATTGAAAAACCCTTCACCTCATATAGACTAACCAATGATTTCAAAATCAAATTTTCTGGAGAGAAGTCCCGTTACCTGTTTTGTGAGATTGTCCTCACATATCATAATTAATTCAACAAAAAGTTCAATGCTCTCGATTTCAGCTGATTTTAAAATCCCCCATTTTGTTAAAAACAATATCACGTGATATCTATTTGTAGCTTACTTTTTACTACCGACGTCTGCAAAAGACTGCCAATTAAACCCTGACCACATTTGAAACAAACCATTGAGTACACAACAACTTTATAAATAAACGAACTATTGAAATTTCTGAGTACAACCAGTAAAACAATTTCAGCATGAAAGTATTTTTAATAGAAATATTAAACAGGAATATTAAATAAAATTACAATGATGTACATACTGCACTTATAGGCTATATAGATTTAGAAATCATATCCATATTCAGACAAATTAGATTCAGATTCTCAAGAGAAATTGAAACGTAACCTTTATTCCCACTATTTGGAAACCTTTTATGCAACTCATCGTGTTGTTCGTACCCACTAACCTTGTCATGCAACAATGTATCAAAGCAACCAAATTCGGGTTAAAGTTATCAATAAGAGCCTGTATAAATATGGTATGTCGGTCAATGAGGAAGGCCTAGATTGAAACTAAAGATATGAAACCAATAAAAGATGGAGTTTAAAGAGGTAATCTTTAGAAATATAAGAAATATGTAGCATAAAAAAAAAACAGAAAAGAAGTCTTGAAGTGGTCCTCAATCCAGGCTCTGCATGGTCACGTAGGCCTAAGGCCAATAATATATAATCCGAAACAACCGCCTTTTCTGTGAAGTCTTACTTTATCTGCAGGGGCATCCTTAATTGATTTTGAACCATTTTCAGGTGTAGTAAGGATTTCACCAAACAGGATTTTTTGAAAAAAAACATAGCCTCGGCCTAGGGTATATGTATTTACAAGCTTTATTATAACATTTCAGAAACAGGAATCAGATAGTCCAGTAAGCTCATCGTTTTCTACCACTACAATATCACACCCACAGAAGAATCTACAAGTGAAAACTTGCAGGCAGATAGATTGGGTGAGATTTTTAAGACCGAAACCAATTACAAGAACAGACTAATGCATAGCCTTGAAAAAAAAGTGGAAAAGGCCTTCGACTTCATGTCAGAGTTGTTTTCCAGAAGTATTTGATATTGTTTTACGTGGGGAATCGTAACCAACATAATATTATAAGTCTATGTGTATAGTTCACTTAAAAAAAAACTTTATAGTTTACTTAAAAAAGCCCCATATAGGTCTAAGTTTCAGTGTACATCAAAGACTAGAAAACCCTTCTTTTTTTCATCACTTTAATGTTGTTTTCTTTCTGTTTCCAGAATCAAATTGATGAGAGAGAAGCCACGGAATATTTATGGAAAGAGGTTGAAGCTCTATCGTGTTTAGATCCACCACATTTATCTGTAAGTTGTTATTCAATACTATGTTTTATCACGTTTATAGTACCGTAGCAGTTGGTATAATTTTTTTGAAAATAAAAAGAAGAGAATAGTATTGAATTGCACCTAAGTGCATTTTCAGGTTAAGGTCAAGGTCATTATAACCACAACAGGGTTACAGATGGTAAAGTCAATGTCCTAGCACCACAATATACAGATTGCAGAAAACTACTGAATCTGTGATGCAACGCTTTGTCTTTTCTCGTTTTCAGGAACAAGTGTTTACTAATATTAAACCATTTCCAACGACTGAGGGTGATGTTTTGAAAGAGGAGATCTCATGGTTAAACGAAGAATATTATAAAGACCAACAAGAGAATTCACTCTTCTGTTTCGGTTCGCATTCTACCTTATTTACTCCCGAAACTCTCATTGCTGGAGTGCATTTGAAAACACTTACTGCTAAAAATAAATATCCAGTACAGCATGAAAATCAAACCAAAGCAGATAGTCATGGTCATCCACGTGGTAGCCCACAATATAGTCCGTTATATGACCGTTATCAACCACCCGACACAAGATTACCACAACTGCTGGGCCACCATCAATATTTGAAGAGATCCCGTACCATTTTACCTACAAGGTTTATCTTCTCCAATGGTGTCTTAACAGATGCTCACATGCTGGTTGGAAATGAGGGAAAGGACATTGATAGTTTTCACGAAACAGGCGGACATCCCCAAAAACAACAACTGAAATGTGAAAAGCCAATTGATCCAAATAATAATAAAGATGATTCTTTGAATCGTGGGACTTTGGGTAACTTATTTATTTTTTTCCATAATAGGATATTTCAGACAATGTTAATTACATTTCTATAATAAATGTTTTGATGTTACGAACTCAATATCAGGTAATGTATCATTATTGACTGGTTATGGTTACCCAACCTCCATCCCCCCTCCCCCACACCTCGGTCGTAAATCAGAGTAATAAAAATATTGAAAAGGACGTTTCATGAAAAGTATTCCTAATATACAATCCCAGCCCGAGAATTACATTACTTTCAATATGGATATGGTTTGCTTTTCAGTGGTTGAACCCAGAAGACCAAAGAATGGGTTTATGAGATATTCTATCGCTTGTAGACAGATTATAGCAGCTGAAAGACCTAAACTGGATAATCGTGAAATATCACGAATTTTGGGATCTAGGTGGAGAAAAATGTCTGCCGAGGAAAGAAAACCTTATGAGTAAGAATATTGTTTTGTTAAAGAAGGGTTCCCTTATTTTCATTTATGAAAATGAAATTGCTAATACTTATATGAATGAAAATGGAGTTGTTCTATTAACTTGGAAAAATACCAGTTTATCTCACGTGTCCATAATTAATTCATAATGAGCTAAATTAGAAGATAATTACCAGCAGCATTCCAATGAGTGACCGATCAAGTAAGGTAAAAATGTTTTTTTTTTGTTTATCCAGACTGTACATACATGAACATTTATGATAGGTTAAAACTCTTAATTAACTTTAATAAGAACATAATAATAAGATTAAGAATACACGATAATTCATTAAAAATACAAATTAATCAAATTGTTTGCTTAATTTAACTCTAAAACAGAAGAAAACCCATCTTTAAAATATGTAGATCGCGTATTCTGTGTTTTTTTTACAGGAGCATTGCATTTATTATTTTTCTATTTTCAGACTGGAATTTGCAAAAGATATCGCAGCAATTCGGGAACAAAATCCAGATTGGAGATACGCTCCAGCGAAAAGGTTCACAGCCGAATTAGTTGAACCTATGCCAAGTAGGCTGAGACCAAGAGAGAAATTGAAAAGAAATGTGAGTTCAGTATCTCGGTGGTTTCATGAAAGTTGCAACAATCATTTAAATGCAAATTGCTTTTGTGACGACAAAATTCCGATTGACATTCTGAAATAAATACATCATACATATTATGTAAATTATATATTTATATTAATACATGGTATTGGAAAGAAATACTAAACATTTTGTTCCTGTGTTCGACAGGATTATATTAATATTCTTTTAGATTCCAGCTCTAGTTCGGCCATACAGACGTAAACGACCCAGAATTTATAAAACTAAAGACGATCTTTCAACAGCTTTAGTTCAGTGTAGTAGTTGTGGTAAATGGAGAAAACTACCATCCTGTGTAAAACTATCTGATATTGATTCCAACTGGTATGTATATTACTGCATAACTTTTAATGGGGTTCGATCAGACAGTCTGATTGTCACTATTGTGCTAATGATATCTCACTTAGGGTTGAATCTATCGACAATACTATAGATATTATATTACATTATAATTTGTCTGTATACTAATAACCGCCGATTATATTATGAGTTGGTTTAAACTATATATAAACTCTCTTAATAATTTAGTAGTTGGAGTGGCTCTATAAGTTATATCCCGGTTATAGGTGATACCTTCGTATTTTTTCAACCAAGTCTCACCTTTAGTGATGCAGGTCTGAGGGAACAACCGATGTTTGATACAGGTGGTAAAAAAATCATCGATAGTTGGAAATAAAAAAAAAAAGAGTAGGCTCATGTCGCTGCTTTTCCAAAATTTCTTCCTCTTTCATACTGATGTTGCTTGTCCCGTTAGATTCCATTTTATCAAGAAAATATTATAATTTTTTTCTGATATTTTTCGTTTTCAATGGAGTAGGTAAATATCAGGAAACAAAAAAGAAACGAAATTGTAATCTGAATTGAATGGATTGCATTATAGACTTAGACTTATTTAACGTGGAACTGTCGATTTCTTATGAAAAGGCTTTTTACAGCCCCTGTTCGTCGTCAAAGTAGCACCTTTATATTAATCTATGTATAGACAATATTTTCTCTCTTTCACTTTACCTTTAGGAAATGTGAGATGAATCCGGATGTAGTATATAATGCATGTTGGATACCAGACGAATGGATTATATCTAGAACCTCACCATCAACTTCACCGTCAACAAAATCTCAATCTATTGATGTTAAACCAACCAATAATTCTCAACATAACCAAAATAATTTTTACAATAACTGCAAAGAGTCTTAAGATTCAAAAGTCTTACAACGCGAATCGAAAGATTAAAACTGTCTACATATCATTTCCGATGAAAGGATAGGGCCAGATTTGTCGGGCTCTCGAAATTCTTGCAAGACTAATTTTGGATTGCATTGAGTAAATGTAAATTAATTTTATGTATAAAGTCTTGCTTTGATAACAATTGCCTCTTATTGTTATCCTTTCCAATAGATCGACTTTATTTTATTGTGAAAGGTAATTAGGAAACCTGACGATTATCAACAATGTAGGCCTACGTTCAAGCACGATTTGTAGCTATCTGTATATCTTGAAGAATTTTAATCCGAATTTGAGCCTGAAGGAAAATAGTTGCGCCCAAATAAGATAAATCAAGTTTGAACATGCTCCTAAATGTTTTGACATTTAGGCTATTCCGACTTATTTGATATCATACATAAACAATATTGTATTGAAATGATATTCAGATACCTGATAAATGATATAGAATATTTTGCCTACGTGGATTGTTTTGATTTAGTATCTATAGAGGCTACATGATACTATAAAAGGTGTGGATTGTGAGTCATCAATATAGGGGTTATTGTTTATTGAAATATCTATAAATAATTGTTAAAGGAGACGTTTTAGCTTTAAAAAATAGCAATCGGTCTTTTTCACTATTGAGGGATACCCGAAGAACCAGTATTCAATTCAACCACAGATTGAGAACGTTGTTATCTGTTACTATCAACCAAATGACGACGAATCGGAAGATTTTAATCCTGATTTTATTACTTGATTATACACATAATTATCAAGAATAATTTGAAGGAACTAACAATTCAAAAAATATATAGGCCTATGACCCTATATGTAGGCCTATATGGCTTAGGCCTATAATGACTGTCAGACAGTTGCGTATAGGGTAGGCCTATTTACCCCCCCCCCCCCCCCCCCCCCCCCCTTTTTTTTTTAAAAAAAAAATAACCTAAGCATTTTCTTCTCAGGCCAGCAAAATTCACTAATTGTGTGGACCTAGCCTTGCCCTCCGGTTTGCGACCGAAAGATATTGGTCAACAACCAGAAAACCAAGAAAGACAGGTAAAATTCGTGATAAAATTTCGAGCAAATCAGAATTTTTTTTATTCACAATAAGCAGTAAAAATCTAAAAACGAGAAGGTTTATTGATAGGTTTTTGTGGTAGCCTACATGGTGTTGTACGAAAGTGCTTTGTTCATCAGGAAAAGATTAGGTTACGGTGTTATAAACCGTTGCTAGGGCCGCTCCTATACGGTTTCCCGCCTATAATCTGTTCAACCAATCAATGACGTTGTTAAGGTCTAAGTGTTTACACGTAACCTAGTAACCATGAATGCTATAATAGTATGTTGACATCATCGGTTTATCAACACAGTCGCAGTTTTAATTTCAACAAGAAACAAACTAAATCTTACAAAGTTTACTAGTCGGAAACAAATCAAAATGAGAGAAATTGTACACATGCAAGCTGGCCAATGTGGCAACCAAATCGGTGCTAAGGTATGTAGGCTATGGTTTCATTGATAAGTCTAAGATTTAGGCCTAGTCTTGTTAAAAAAAAACTCGTGCCGCGAGAATCTAAGAATCCTTGATTCTAAATTTCTTAAAATTTCTTTTAGATCGTAGGCCTACTATTGTTTTGTTTAGTCTGCTGTCTGATCAGGGTGATGGGTCTTAATCTGTATGTGCGCAGTCCAGACCAAGTTGGCAAGGGACAAGAGCCCCAGCATAAGAATGTGGATCTAGCCTACTAGGCCTAGACAATATTCATAAGGATTATAATATATGCCTATGGATATATTACGTGCGTGAGGTGTCGTTAATAAATTAAATTACTGTTTTGAAGCTGGTACATCTTAGAAAGTGAGATACATGTGGTAGATCGGCTTGATGAATGAAGGCTATGGCCTAGAGGTTTTTCAACCCTTGTAATTACCGGTACCCTATCACTTTCAGGATCATTGATGATTGTATTAGCCTCAACAGTGTCAGTAGTCTAGTGGTAGGCTTATATTTATAAGTAACTTCAACTTCAATCAAAGGACTCTTTTAAATCAATGTCTTAACAGGTAATTTTTTTGTTACAGTTCTGGGAAGTTATTTCTGATGAACATGGTGTTGACCCAACAGGAACCTATCATGGTGATTCAGATTTACAATTAGAGAGAATTAATGTTTATTACAATGAAGCCACTGGTATGTATTAAGCTTACAATTACATTTTATTTTGTCAAATAATTTTTTTTTTATGTATTCACCACAAGTTATTTCTATATCAGTGTATTGGAATTGAGCAGAACTGTAAAGTTCAATGTTTGAAATTCTTTTAATGGCCACATAACTTGAGTAGATATTATTATATAAGATAATTATGATCTCCATTAAGTTTTTGGTTTTCATTCATTATTTATTATATTATTTCAGGTGGCAAATATGTCCCCAGAGCAGTTTTGGTTGATTTGGAGCCAGGAACAATGGACTCTGTTCGTTCTGGTCCATTTGGGCAGATTTTCCGACCAGATAACTTTGTTTTTGGTCAGTCTGGGGCTGGTAATAATTGGGCTAAAGGACATTACACAGAAGGTGCTGAATTGGTTGATTCTGTATTAGATGTTGTCAGAAAGGAAGCTGAAAGTTGTGATTGTTTACAAGGATTTCAGTTGACTCATTCTCTTGGTGGTGGAACTGGTTCTGGTATGGGAACTTTACTTATCAGCAAAATCCGAGAAGAATATCCAGACAGAATAATGAACACATTTTCAGTTGTTCCTTCACCAAAGGTAAATGTTTGTTTTTTTCATGAACATGTCATTACATCGGATGCAGAGTGCTAGGATTTGAGAAATTAAATTCAAGAAACACAACCAAGATATGGATGAAAAAAGTAGAAATTGCATGTGAAAGTTGCATCTGTTAAACTGAGAAGACATTTGATTCGGCATCATCCACATTTATGATCAAGATTGTATAAACCAATTTTCTAATTTCAGGTATCAGACACAGTAGTTGAACCGTACAACGCAACCCTTTCCGTTCATCAATTGGTAGAAAACACAGATGAAACTTATTGCATTGATAATGAAGCCTTATATGATATCTGTTTCCGTACATTGAAACTCACCACACCAACTTATGGTGATTTAAATCATCTGGTATCAGCCACAATGTCAGGTGTTACAACATGTCTTCGATTCCCTGGTCAACTTAATGCTGATTTACGTAAATTGGCTGTCAACATGGTTCCCTTCCCACGTCTTCATTTCTTCATGCCTGGTTTTGCTCCCCTTACATCTCGTGGCTCCCAGCAATATAGAGCTCTCACAGTGCCAGAACTTACTCAACAGATGTTTGATGCCAAAAACATGATGGCTGCCTGTGATCCTCGTCATGGCAGATATCTTACTGTTGCTGCTATGTTCAGAGGTCGAATGTCAATGAAGGAAGTTGATGAACAGATGTTGAATGTTCAGAATAAGAACAGCAGTTACTTTGTTGAATGGATTCCTAACAACGTAAAAACAGCTGTCTGTGACATTCCACCAAGAGGTCTTAAAATGTCTGCTACCTTTATTGGTAATAGCACGGCCATCCAAGAACTATTCAAAAGAGTCTCTGAACAATTCACTGCTATGTTCAGACGAAAGGCTTTCCTCCATTGGTATACTGGTGAAGGTATGGATGAGATGGAGTTTACTGAAGCTGAATCTAATATGAATGATCTGGTATCTGAATATCAACAGTACCAGGATGCTACAGCTGAAGAAGAGGGCGAATTTGATGAAGAAGAAGAACAAGAAGAAGCATAAATTATGGACATTTGAAACCGATTGTCAAAGAAATAAAGATATGAAAGTCTAATTTGCCTTTTTCTTTTTAAATTCTCAGCTTATTTCACATTTCCAGTTATGAAGATGTAAATTGGCATTTTACTGATCATATTTTAAGAAACTTGCAAGACAAGTTGAGTGTCCTGAATGGTGGACTAGATAAGTGTGAAGGATAATTTATATATAAGATGTCTAACTCACTATTTACTCATCTTCACATCTAGAACACAAATTAGGCATCCATTCACAACATTCTAAATGAAAATTCATCATAAGGTCAGTCATAAATAATGATTAAGACATATAAACTGGTAGAATTGAATTTTCTTGGAACTTCCCATCCCAGAATGAAAGTCTGCATCTGATCTATATTTAACGAGTATTATATACATTAACAAAGTCCTCTTGTATTTTAATCTTATCTTGATTATCTGTACCTATTAACAGCTGAATCAGATTTTGTACACTGAGTTAGTTACATTATCACATTCTGTTTTACTTATAATGTGCATTCAAAATTTGCTTTTGGTCTGAAGAGTAAATGGTTAAAATGAGGAATGGTGACTTAATAAGTTTTTGATCTGTATAACCCAGGACATAAATACCATAACAATACGAATTATTACATCATGATACATGATAATGAAGTTAATTTTATTTCTCAATAATAAATGGAATGATTTAATACTAACAAAATTTCAGCTATTCATATCATGATGTATATTTCTGAACATGTTTCAATGAATTATTTTACCATCATACTATAAGGCAATAATATGCTGATTCAGTATTTCTGTGAATAGAATCAATTTTTCTTTACTTTTAGCAATCTGTCATGAGAAATTTTCCAACTTCCTTTCAAGGCACCTGAGCAGATGAGAAAGATTTGTTTTGTCTGTTTCATCCTGTGGAAAATTAAATTATAAAGTAAATACATAAAACTTTGATTAATTTACTCATAATATACAAATTATTATAAAAGAAAAATAGTCATAAGAATATAAACATACAAAAGATGATTGCATATTAGTGTATATTAAAGTGTTTACATTATGTTTTAAATTTACACATCCATATTATGTGAGCTATATCAAAATGGCAGAAAACTAACAAATAATGTAAATATCTTTCACACCACACATCTTGGTTTTCAAAAATAAATTATATTTGGAGACATTTCTCTTGAAAAAATGAAAGGTAGAAACAAAAAAATCTGAAGAGTTGAAGCAATATAAAAAACATCCTATATATTTAGAAGTCAGTTTCAGCATGTAACCTCTGATCCAACAAACTGATATAATTACTACAATAAAGATTAAATAGTCAAGATTTTAGTAAAAAGGCAATTTCCACATATAAAGTGTTGATACATATCCGTACTTGTCCTTTTATCAACTAACTTAACACATTGTACAGTCAATTCTTCTTTTACTTCTTGTATATTAATATAAATCAATCACATTACAATTGTCTTCATGATCTCTTAAACAATCCTTTTATTTTAGCTAAAATTCCTTTTTTCTTGGATGGATCTAGTAGAGTAAAGCGTCTAGTTGTTAAATTATGTATAGATCCAAAAGCAATAGCTACAACAGTGCACGCTAAACATATCACATTATAAGGCATACTAAAGTCTGGAGTTGGTAGGGAAACTAATAATGTCTCTGTATGTAATCGTAAGAAGTAACTCTCTGAATCATCTTTAAAACTGGGGAAAGTAAAAAAGTATTTGTTAGTATTAAGTAGTACATTTTAAAGCCACATCTAATAATAAGTCAAATAAGACTGTACATAAACTGGAGTAGGGAACTGTAGTGAGACACCCACGCCATGTTTAATTAATGGAGATATTGGTACTGGTTAGTGCTGGCACCATATATTGGTGAATCAATGTAATGCAATACGATACAACAAAAAAATCGTAATTCTTTTAATTATTGGAAACTATTTATAAGTCTACATTACCAAATATCACAGTTACAAAGAAATAAAACAATATATACAGAAACTTTAAAGATAAAATGTTATTATATTACCCCATATTACGAAAGGTATCATGACATGTTTGGAAATACCCAGCACTAGTACTAGTCACTAACCGCAATTTGGTTAATGAATTATTTTTATCTAATTAAGTCAAAGTTATCATAAATCAGATTACAAAATTTTGTGTCCACAAAAAAAAAAAAAATTCTGATAATAGTACGATTTTAATATATTCATTTGTTTTTAATCCCAAATTTAAGCATAGGATTTAGAGAAAATTAAGCCTTGATTTTTTTTTTTTCTGACCAAATTGAAACATTTTACCCATACCCACTGTTATCATCTTTGTATGTAATCGTAAGAAGTAACTCTCGGAATAATATTCTTACAACTAGGGATAAAATATAAATTCTTATTATCAAGCAATATGTTCAAAAGCCACACTTATCACAGTTAAAACTAAAAAAAAATTACAATTTTACATAAACTAAAGTCTGGAGTTGGTAAGGAAACTAATAATGTTTCTGTATGTAATCTCAAAAAGTAACTTTTTGAATCTTCTTGAAAACTGAAACAATTTTATCTAATTTCAAAACATTTTCCTTTTCAGAATAGATATATCTTCATATTCAATTAAATCCAGTCCAGTTTGAGCCAAAGTTTAATAATGATCAGGGAATAATAATATGGTGACCACTTATGGCAAAATAGTTTGGACAGTTCAGACCAACTTCAAATTTACCTTTTTAAAATGTTTTTTTTTTCTTTATGTATGAGCATAAACATTCCCAATAACAAACTACACAGTAATGAATGTATATATATTCAAACAAAATTGGTAAGTTGACACCTTTTGATCACCTAATATTTCATGTGATATACGGTCACGCTATGGTTACTAGTAACTTGCAGAGACACCGATGTGCCATCACGATTATGTTAATTATGGAAGTGTTTTAAGACTAGATACAAACAAGAATTTCTTTGTTTTACAGATAATTAATATGATTTATAATTACTGACCTATTTTCTAGAACAGTAGAATACTGGGGAGGTGTGGTATAGTTGACTGATGTAGGTAATACAGTAGATAGTATAGCTGAACCAATATAAAAACCATGATTAGCATCTGGAGGATATTCTGTCCATTTTAAAAATGCTCTCTCAAAATCATAGCTAATTTTAGTGACAGAGTTGGCTCGTAATCTAAAAACTATTTCAAGATGATAAGGTCTGCCTCTATCTTTACCAGGTATATAATTAATTTTATCTGAAATAAAGTGATAAATCAACTAGTGAATCTTTCTTAACTTTTGCAAAGCACTCAAACTGAACCTTAATTTTCTGATATATGTGCATTTAATGTTTCATTAAAATCTTTTGATTCAAACCTATGTAGCAAAGAAAATGGGAGTTAAGTCTATAACAATATATTGCAACAAAATTAAGAAATTTATGTGCACAAAAATAAGGAGACTAAGTAAACAAGCTCTACTTACAAGGTTGTACCAGTGTTCCTTGATTTGATAATGTTAAAGATTTATAAAAGAACCTAGTAAACCATGGTAAAGTTTCCATATAGATAACTGTTAAATTACTATCTAAATTATTATAAATCAAACTAGTTACACCACCCTTCTCTAAACCATAACCTATCAATACAAATAATAACAAATTCTTTATTTTACACACAGTAGATAAATCTAGAACCATGACACCAAAGTGACATGGTCCTGTTTAACACTCATCCTATGGGAACAAACATAATTCATATCTGCTCTTTTATCAAACACTGATGGATGTCAACAGCTTCTCTGGACTTTTGCCAGTTATAAGCAACCTTTACAAAATATAACTACAAACAATGGTAGATTTTAACCTTCAACAAATACTGCTAATTAAGTGTGTAAAAAATACCTAATCACACAATCTACCTGTTATAAATCTTTGGGCAGAAACAGGTGGTTTAACTATATCAGTGTACTCTAGTGGTTTATCATATCTACTAGCTATATTAAATACACGACCATTAGCTGTCTGTAGACCTATATCATATACTGCATATTGTCTAGTATCATCACCTCGTTTAACTGTCTTTATACTATCAGCTTCAGGTGACAGAGTAAATATAGGATCAGGCTGAAATTATATATCTACAGATACAAATACAAGTAAGTAGCCTTATACATATTACAAAGTGCAAATTCAGTCTTATTCACACAACTTAATCTAATTTATTTGTGTCACTTTTCAGAAATCATTCTTCAAAATTTAACTACAGTACAACAATAAATATTAGATAAAGTATCATTACTAAATCATAATTCATCATAAAGTTTATTACTCACTAAATTACTAGTGATATCTACAAATATTTTACTGGAAGTTGTTAAAGGACAACGACTTGACAGGAAATCACCAAATATTTTCTTTAAACTCCAATCTAAAAAAAGAAAGTATGCCACAGGATATTCTCTTATTGGTCAGTATTCAATTTAGAGATCAAGACATAACATAACATAAAATAACATTACATTTATACATTAATATAAATATGGTTAAAATACCTTGATAGCCATTGGTACTGCTGGTTACTGGATCAAATACAACTGATAAACTTTGACTTAGTTCAATACTTGTTTCCTTACACTCAGAATTCTGAAAACACAAAACATCTATATCTTTCGTTTAATTTTTTTTTATTAGTTTTTATTTTTAGAATGTCACTTCACAGTAGGCTCCAACGACCAGAGTCTTAAACATTCGTCAAATTAACCTTTCGATCTAACCTGATGCTTTAACCAATCAAATTCAACTGGGTCAATTTGGAACATCCAATGAAAAGGCATGTGTTCTATTTCACTTTCAGTGGACTTGATAAACTAGTCTATTGCTCCTGAAATACACCTTTTGATTGCGCCACAAAACGCCAACACTGGAGAAGGCGTAAATTTGATTGTTCAAAGCAAGTCCTATCTATCTCAATATGTTAGATGATAAATAAAATCTGTAATAACTTACTCTACAAACTGGTCTCACATGTAAACCAAGGGAATGATAATTAGCATCATAGAGTTTAATTGCTTTAAATAAACTTCCCAATCCAACCTATAAAATATAACAGAAAACTGACATAATCAATTAAAATGTCGAGTGTTTCCAGCCTTTACAAAAGAAAATTCCTTTAAAGATATGAAATTTATGAAAATAATGAAAATTAATATCACACAATATGACTATATTGTTTCCTTTCACGTACACATCCTTAAATTTAAACAAAAATATTCACCTTTGTATTACAGGGTAATAGTTTTTTCCAAGGAGTAAGATTTTCTGTACAGACGATTTCTCGTGGTAATGCACCATATCTGATAAATCTAGAGAAACTAGAATAACCCTCAGAAGCCACTCCATGTGGTCGGAATGACCATCTTGGTGCAACTGTTGATTTGGAATCAAGGAAATTCAAAGAAGAACAAAAGTGGCCTGATAAAGCATTCACTAATTCTGACCAGGTTTCATCTATGCTGAAATACAGAATATTATAAATTCATTGTTTAATTAGTTCTTGGATGGAGGAGAAAAATAAATTCTTTTATCGCAAAACATAATCAGTTTTGATTTCTCTTATTACCATAATAATTTTATAAAGCATAAAATGTTATGTGTTATTTAATATGGTAATTGTTGTTAAATTATCTTATATAACTATTGCCTATAATTATAAATTAATATGGCTCTACCAAGAAAAAGTCCTGAACTTGAGCTACTTTTCAGTACATACTTTGTAATGGTTGGCTGAAACCAAACCCACAATTCTGCACCAGGTGGAGCACTTGTTACAGGATATCCCCATTTATCATGATGCCATAAACCTTGGGTTTGTGATAGATGAAGTTCTTGTACTTTATATGTCGTTAAAACATCACCAAGTGACTTTGGAAATAAACCATAGTGTTTGACTAAAATAAAAAATTTTTTTAATAATTTTATGTAAGTTTTTTGAATTTATTCAATTATTTTATGAGAATTGGAATAGCTGCCTCAAATGGTACTGATAGTCTTAGAATATCTTTACGTTAATAAAAATATACACATGTCTTCAAAATTTGTTTTTACACAGGCCCATTTTTCAGCCAAAATCTATAAATTTTTTTTGGGCTTGAAATTCTAGGAGGAAAAGTGGTTCTTTTCAATGTAAACTTACAAAAAATTATATTCACATCAATGCAAAAGCATGCTAAGCATAACCGTACTATTTTGAGGCTGTTATTCTAATTCTCATAAAAATAATGGACAAAATTAGAAAAACTTTTTACTTCGCTCAGACAATAGGTCAATATACATAATTAAAAAAATACGAGCATGTTCCGGAGCTAAAAGGAGAGCAATATACATGATTTTAATTTTTAAAACAGATTTGGGTCGCTGAAATTGAGCTTTAAAGGAATAGAACGTCTTAGAATAAACTTGTCCTACGGCTAATATTTGTATTTAATAGCGACCATTGGTTAAACAAGTATGCATCCCACACTTCATCAATGTTGCAATAACGGCAATAAAACTATATTCAGAATTTAAACAAACAAGTGAGCAACCGATGAATCCGTTCAATTTAAATAAAAGAGTCTGGGTAATCAACGCTAAAACAGGGAAAAAGAAAAGCCAATCAATGTGCAAGCGCAAAATGACAATCATCTTCCAGTGTATACAAACAAACTTTGCCAATGATTGATTTTCGTTGAAAATTGTGTCAGTGGTGGAGAAATCATTCTAAATGATATGATTTGCTTCTTCTTGGTCTTCTGTGAATTTATATATCGTACAATCTTCAAAAAATGTTTGAAACGCCATGTGAGAGTACTTCCCCTTATGATCACAGCAGATTTCCAAGATTCACAATTTGAAAACACTTAGTGGATGTATTCAGCATTTTATAAATAGTTGCTTGATTTTTTTGGATTTATCGGATTTATAATTGTAGAAGGATTTTGATGTTTATTTATGACCCCAGTCCACTGATGCCGAGTGATGGATATGTAAAGTTTAAGTGAAATTAAAATTTAAAGTACTTTCTAAGACGATCTATTCCTTTAATATGTACAATAGCATATATTGTGGTTATTAATTCTTTCACACTTGAAAATCTCATGTTTGTAGAATATTTCGGATTAAAGAAAATAGCAATTACATGAATCCGGTTGATCCAAACTTTCATCCCATTTTGTTGTGAATTGAAAATGAAAATAAACATGTCCACTTGGCAGAGGCTTGATTAATAACTCCTCCACATGACTGTCAACTAATATTGCCACAGATTCCCCAAGTAATGTGGAAATCATACAAAATACAAAATTTATTAATTTCATCTTCGTGGAAGCTGACATATTTACAGCTTCGGACTGAAAATGTAAACAATGGGAGAAATGACGTCGAGAAAAATTAAGAAAGAAATAATTTGAATAAGAACATTTCAAAGAGAATATTTTTAATGTAGAATGTCTTATATCATAATATAATATTTTAAAATAAATATTCTTTTCATATTCTAAACAATTTTATCCAATAAGCGTCAGTAATGCCCGATTGTTAGTAGCCCGAACCAGTCCGCAAAAGTTGAAAGAGTTATTTATTTTCATCTTTTACCGGTGTATTTTATTGTAAAAGATTGATCAAATCTGTCAATGTTTTTCTGTAAAAATCAATTAACCCCATTTTAACAGTAAGACATGTCTTAATTATGACTCATAATCTCTAGAATTAACGATTTTGGTGGCAGAATTACTGCAATTGATCTACAAACTCGCTTACCTATCAAAGGGTTTGTTAATCCGAAACATTCCGTGATTATATAGAATTTTAGACACTCTTGCCTGTTGTCTGACACTGATACTTCCACTTTTAATAGAATTAATAGAGAATATTGTTTGATGATAAATCTATATAATTGAAACTTTTGATTCTTGATTCAAAATGATACAACATAACAAAATGGGAGGGCACATCAAAGACAGTAATATGTGACCTAAAAAAATAGTAAATTAGAAAAGTATTTATATTTCAGGAAATGGTTGGCAAGCGCCCGTGCACTCAAGGTGGTAAAAAGCATACACCTTCAAGTCCTCGAAGACCTAAGAGAAATGTACCAGTTAAAACTATTGTAAGGATTTAAACTTCATTTATTTGTCTATATTGTAGTTTGAACTAAGATTTACTCTCTCACTACATTGAGCTCTGAATTGAATTTTTTTTCTCATTTCATAAATATTAAAAATAAAATTTTCAACTGTATGCCATTTTTCTAAAAATGTCTTCGGTTCCATAGAAATATAAGGTTAAATGATTTTACTTTTAAAAAAGACACACTTTCCTTCCAGAAAATTCACATGAAAATTCCCCTTTGTAAAATCATGTTTACAATTAATAAATTTTCCAGTGGTTGACATTTTTAATCAATCTATCTCTCAGTAGTATTTTGTAGTTGATATTTCATTTCATTCGAAAATGATTGGCAAAAGTCAATTCAGCAATCATTGTAGTCAGAGGGTAGATGATTATAATTGTATTTGCAAGCTACTATAACTCCAATTCTACTAATTGTATTTGATAAACATTTTGGTTATTTTTTTTTATGATAAATTTATGTTGTGTTTTTTTTTCAATAGGATGACACGGTAGGGCTTTCTAAGAAAGAAGAAAAAGAATTGAAGAAGGCGTTGTATGCTTCCCTTCAAGAAACCAAATTAAAAGTGACTTATACATATGAAAAAGTTATTGATAAAAGGCACTCTGGAAGTAGACATGGATCGCAATCTGCACCAGCATCACAGACAACAAGTCGCAGAACAAGTACTGTTACATCTAGTAGTACTACTACCAGTATGGATGAATCAAGTCAAGATTCTGTCAAGTCTTACACTAGTACTAATACAACTGCTACATCTACATTAGAACCTATTAGGTATTAAACCATTTACTGTTACTCATTATATATTGTATGTCATGGAGCATACCATTTACAGTTATTTTTATGACTGCAATTTTCAGAAAAGACATTTTGAAGTAAAATTTATTTTGGTGTTTAAAATTGTGGATATCAATTTTCTGAACTTGTTAAAATATATATTGACAATATTAAACTTTTTGCTTTCAGAGCCAAGGTTCATGCACAACGTAAATTTGCTCAAGGTTCTTTACCTGTGACACCCAGCACAACGCCAGTTAAAACAGTCACATCACCTTTTAAACTTCTTCCCAAAACTCCCAAAACCGAAGATTTCATAACATTTCTTTGTTTAAGAGGTAATAATTTCAATGTGCAACTTTTTAGTGCTTAAGGTTTTTATGTATATGGCAAACGTAGAATATGTTATGACCTGTTTGATTGCTTTTTGCATTGTCCTTAGTTTCATAAATATGAATGTAACAATAATGAATGATCCAGACTTTGTATACTTTGTGTCTTATATATTATATATTTTCAATTCCTAATCCAGGTACATCAGTTCTTCCACCACATTTAGATTTTCTCAAATATTCTGGAGATGAGTCTAATGAATCAAGTAAAGCTGAGAGTAATAATTCATGTAAACAACCACCAACACTAGGTGTTAAGGGAGAGGAAATAACTCGTGAATCCACACCAGAATCCTCTAGTGCCAGTAGTAATGATGAACTTTATCAATTACATACACCTTCTCCTGTAAGTTTTTTGCGATAATAAGTTAGATAAATGAACACCTACAAATCTGAAGCATGGATCTAAAATATGATCTCTTGGAAACGGAAATCATAAAGAGAAAGAATGTTAGCCTCAGCCAATATAATGGATATATCAATGTGAACCATTTCCGACTTAAGCAGAATTGGTACGGTAAGAGCTCAAAATGAGTTTCTTAACTTCAACTCTATTAGTGGAAACAAAATACACACATTTGGTTCCATATTATTTAGATTTATCAGAATATCTTCCGATATTTTTTCCAGAGTACAAGAAATGGTGGAATAAGTAGTGCTTTAAGGAAAGCAGCAAGAGCAAGTGCCAGTACTCCAGAAACTAATCGTGGTATAGTTTCTTTAAGACAAGGTTTATCACGTAAAGCATCCAGTTTGGCACAAACACCCCCATCATCTCGCTCACGTTCTTTATTATCAACTCCTGATAAATCATCACGTTCTGGTAGAAAACACAGTTCATTATCATCCAAACAAAGACTAGGTGTTAAACGATTAACTAAAAGTTTTTCTAATTATTCCCCTAAGAGAAAAGAAGCAAGTATACAGAAATCTGCCTCTACCTCAAAACTTGGTTCCAAGAAAAATATGTTTGGAAGAGAAAAAAAAAGAAGACAAATTAAGGTAGGTATTTTTTTTATATATCATACAAATGACTGGTAGATCTTCTGAGATGTGCCTTTGGCTTCAATAATGCTGATATTGTGTGATATATCTAATGATACTTTTCTGCATAGGTCATTCATTTCTCTTTTTAACAACCCCTTTCTATGTCGTCACTTTCTATTCTTACATAACCTTAAAGTAGCATCTCGTATATTTAGCATGTTTAATTAATGTAGCTCCTTTTTAAATAGATATAAAAATAATATCACCTGGACATCAATTTTCAAATTCTTGACTTAAAGGGAAAGTTTAGACATTATTTTGACCAATCATACCTTATTCTCAGAAACCCGAATTTTTTAGCTGAGCCAATCAGTAATAGTGTTCACATTTAACTGTGTTCAGAATGATCTACATTTGATAGTTAAAAAGACAGGTTAACTTTTCTTGAGACACTGCCATATTCATAAAATCTATGGAAATAGAAAAAGAAGTTCCTAGTTTGAAATAATTTTTGAATGAATTATGCGACTTTTGTCATTTCTAGTACTTCTGAAGGCTATTAACATATATTCAAGACTCAAATCAACCCACCCTTTAAGATAAATCCAGATTTTGGAAAATACTTTAATGCAATTGGTTAATATAACCAAGATCATTTTTGATGATTGACCAATTCAAACAATAGAATGTTTAAATTATATTTAGTTAAGTTTTTGTGAATTAGGTCCAGCTCTGTATATCTATATAAACTTAATGAACTGCGATGTTTTGCACATTATTTCCAATTCACTCAACTCACTAAACACTTTTTTAGGTGAAGTCTTGCAAATGTTGTTTTGCTAGAAATTCAGAGAAAAAATCAGTTCATTTTGATTCAGTAACTGTTATTGAACCTAGTGATTTCTCAGGTGAATCTGGTGATGATAGATTTTCAGATCCATCAATACAACCCCTGCCAGTAGATTCTGAAACTGAAGATCAGGAGATCATCTTTCATAATATATCTCATGAGAATGATAATAAGGGTGGAGAAAAGATGGAATATAGAAATCCTGGTGACAACGGTAAAAAATCAGAGAGAAATTTCAAGGTGACTCTTTTATCAAAGCTTGTCAATGACAAAAATGAACATTCAGTATGGAAGACACAAAATGATAAAGGGTTGGACTGTCAGTATAATTTGAATGATAGTGGCACCTTGAAAATAGATAAGAATTTAACTAACCCAGACGATTTACCAGAGAGTTTATCTGGTTTCCGTAACTTTAAAGAAAGCAATATAACATCATCTTTATTGGATGACGACAATTCCTTTCAGTACGGAATAAGTAATACTGAATCCAATTTTACTCAAATTAAGACGCAAAATACCAACAACATTTCTTGTGACAATGATTTGGAAATAATCACAGGAAATCTGAAAATCAAGCATTCAGACAAAACTGATTATACCAATGTAATTGAGAATATGCCTGCATATAACAATGTAATGTCAACCAGTCAATCAGTTAGACCTGAAGAAACTTTACACAAGATAAGCCAGCTTTCTTACTCTCCATTCAGTGATTATGGAAGTGAAAGAAATATTGTTACATCTACAATAACTACAGATGTTTCTTCTATCAATATCACAGATGGTTCACAGCCTTATTTACCCTCTTGCGACTATGAAAATGGTAAGAAAAGAAGAGGACCTTTTGAAAGAAGTCACACTTTAAAAACTGGTTCCCAAGAAAACGCCCTGCATATTTCACGATCATGTTCCCCTTTTACTGATAATGGAAGTGGAAATAAATTTCTAGGAACATCCAATATTACTTCACTTTGTGAATCCTTATCACCTCAGTCTTTCAGTGTACAGGTTACAGATCATAGTCAAGAACCTTTTTTTTTAAAGAGAAGGAGAAGCCAAGAAACTAGAATGAGAAGAAGGTTTTTAGCTGAAAGTGATTGTGATAGTTCTGGAACATCAGAAAAGATTTATGAATCACTTGGGTCAATTTCACAAGATTTAGAAAAATTAAGACAAGCAAGTAAAATGAATACTACTGAGGCAAGTGAAGATTATAAGGAAAATCAAAATAGTGAAAATGAGGTATTCAGTTATGAAGAGTTTGAAAATGGATTGATGAATATTTCTTTCTATGATGCTAATCATTGTAACTCCCCAGTAACTGATGCTGCTATATCCTTTAACAGTACTGAAGATTTGGATATCAGTGATCCTGAAATAGAGTTCAAATCACCTCCGGCTCAATTTATTCTCACCTTTGAAAAGGATAAATCTTCCAAAAGCATAGATGAGTTGCCAGTTGAAAGAGATGGATACCTTTCACCAGTGTTACCTCAATCAGAAAGTCTAGATATAGATATGAGTGACAGTGCACAAGATTCTCCATGTATGAAGAAAGCATCTTTGAGTAGAAACGAAACAGAATGGCAGTTGATGTTTAAAGAAACAGAGTCTGGTCAAGTTAAAGTTATTGATACACAAATAGATATGGATGGATCTGTAGTAGATGATAATGAGTCTATTGTAAAAGATAACTCCTGCTCACCTGTATTTGCTGGACCTGGTTGTTACGATTTACCAGCATTTAAATCCAGGGATAGAGAGATTGAATCAGATGTGAAAAACACAGAAGAAGAAAAATATTATAAGCCTATTAAACCTAATATTACCTGCAATATTTGTCCAATTATAGCTACAGCACAGTTCACTCCCTTGCCTGCACCACCTCTGTCTATTTATAGATCTATACAAAACATACCGCTGTCCTTACCATATTCTACAGATATTGGACAGTTGTCTCATCAAGTTGTAAAAGGAGGAGGTTATACAACTAAAGGCAATTCGCCATTGAATACGAAAACAGTAAACAAGGATATAAGAAAGTCTGAAAAGCTAAAATCTACATCTGTGAAAAAAACTGATGAATTGATAAAGGAAGCAAAAGATCTTAGCAGCAAGAGTAATAACTCTCAAATCCCTGGAGCCCTGGTTTCAAACAATTCTAAGAATCTAACAAATGTAAAGGATGTAAATGTAAAGGAGACTCCAAAAGAGAAGAGTTTTAATAATCACCAGTATTTTACCAGACTAAAGAAAGTAACCACTGGAGATGATCAACCATTGTTACTTCTACCGTCTCCTCCTATTTTATCTTACCCTATTCTAACTCAGGTATCATTGCATGTGTTTTCAATTATCATCATGGAAAGGTGTGGGGCCTCTTACAGCCTTTGAATAGTTTGCTAGCCTGTAGCATACTGCTCTTGCTTTTAGATATTGTATTTTTGTGTGTAAATGACAAATCACTATTTCTCACAATATTCCAAGCTTTCTATATATATTTTCTGTAGAAGGCTAAGGTTATTCAAATACTGTACTCTCTTTCAAAAAAACTGATGTTATTGGTTATTGATGTAAACAAAATTAGGGCTTGACATTGGCTTTAATAAAAAAAAAATTTTAAAAATGTATTAAAATTTTTTGACATTTTGTAGGATAAGAAGTCATCTGAACCATTAAGAAAACGAAGAATGAAATCAGAGGATGTTGATTGTAAAAGAATGGGTGGAAGACAAAGTCGAAGGTCAAGTACATCAGATTCATTATCCCTGTCCCTTGATAGTGGATTACGAGGCAAGAGAGCCACCAAGTCTAGATCAGAAAGTCTGGATTCTAGATGTTCTCCTTCAAGAAAAATACCAAAGAGACGTAGCAGTTCGCGTGTTAAATCTTTAACACATCAAAGAAGATTACAACATTATGAAAGTGATCATGAAATTGATGATGAAGAAGTGTTTGTTCTTATTGATGACCTGGATTCTGACAATAAAAAACGTGGCAGGCCTAAAGGTTCTAAAAATAAAAAATCTCTTGGAATGGCCATGTCAACACGGCGTTCAGTATTTTTACAGAAATCTGCCAAAAAATTAACTTCTGCAGGGAAATTAGCCACAAAAAGGAAAATAGCAGCCATGAATACTTTAAAGAAATCCTCAGTTAAAGAACAAAAGAAACTTTCTAATATGATAGAGAAAAGACGTCATATAAAGTCTACTAGTAGTGATACTAAAGACAACAATGTACGTAGTAAATCCTTAGATCAGACAAATAAAACTTCTAGAATCAGAAATAGTCCCAGTACCAGTAAAACTTCTCCTAGATCAACTCGCAAAACATCAGGTATGTTAAGTGCAGATTTTCAGAATTTTAACCATAGGTCTTGATATTAAACTTTACTTATTCAGACATATTTCAGATTTCAAAACTTCAGTATATACGCTGAAAATCAAGTCAGTATAGTCATTTAAATGGATTAGGGGAACCATTTGAATATTATGAAGTAGTCATTTTTCTTCTTTTTATTTTATAAGGGCTGTCTATTTTTAGTGTCCCCAAAAAGAATTCCTCCAGAAGGTAGAGCAAGCTGGAGATCAGAGATACTGGTAGATATACCAGTTTATCATCCGACTGATCAAGAGTTCCGTGATCCACTGACTTATATAGAAAGTATTAGATCTGCTGCTGAACCTTTTGGAATGTGTAAAATAGTACCACCACCAAGTTGGAAGGTTAGTTGTTAAAAATAGTGATGAATAATGATGAAATATGTTTTAAAAGGTTCTATAACAATCAAATGATTATAAAACATTGGGGATAACCTGACATGCAAATAAAGGAAATTCTATAGCCCCGTTAAGAAACATTATGGGATATGATGTTCTTTGCAAGCCCATTTAGGACAATAACATGTAGGTCTAATAGCCATTGCTGTCATCTGAAAAGAGTGAAATATAAATATAATATATGATATTTTTCAGCCTGATTGTAGAATTAATGATGATATGAGATTTACAGCACAAGTTCAATATTTACATAGACTTTATAAACGGTATGTAGTTGTTTTCATTACTGATGATATTCAAGAATATAACAGAATGATATGATTTTTCCCAAATTATTTTATAGATTTCATTGAAGTTTTGTATTAAATCTATTAATTCCAGATTTTGTAAAGAAATTAATTTATTTATTTCAGATGGGGTCCAAATGTTGAGAAAACAGAATGTATATTAAAATATTTACAGAATATTGGTGTAGATTTTGATTCCATTCCAAAGGTAGGTTAACATCGTCATCAACATGAAATAGAATGATTATATATATGCAAATTCTTGAATTTAAGGCATCTTCTAGCATTATTAGATTATACTGCAGAGGAGAGATTGGTATTGTAATACTGTCAATGGTTTTTATTATAATGCAGTTTTCATGATTTATGTAACTGGAAGAGACGCCTGTTAGTTTTGACATTTACTCAATGAAACCAATGTCTGAACTTTCATGGATCATTATATCTAAAATTCTGATTTCACATTTTTATTTTGACAGATTGGAAGTGTAGATTTGGATTTACCTAAATTATCTCAAATAATACAAGATCATGGTGGAATGCAGAATGTTATAGATAAGAAAAAATGGATCAAAATAGCTGATCTTCTTAACATTCCTAAAATGGTGAGAGTTCTGTCACTATAATATTTTCAAATTTAAGATCTGCACTGTTTAAATTCTTTCAAAGCTTGAAATTGGGTGTATTTGTCTAATTTCAGTATGAGATATTTATAAGAGTTGTATTTATTGCAGGCAGTTGATAGAGGTACCAAACTATTTGATGCTTATTGTAAATATTTATTACCCTATGATACATTGAGTCCAGAAGAAAAGCGTAAGGTGAAACAACAAGTTTTAACTGAGAAACAGAAGAAAGAAGAAATGAATGAAATAGATGATGGTGTAGTCAAGGTAGGTTATTACTATTGATTTAGAATTAGTCTGCTACTAATCATTTTAATAATATTTGGTAAGGATAAGATCAAATATGAGAAACTATGAATTCATTTACGAAACAAAGAGTCAATTGACAAGTGATGGTTTCAGGGGTGGCAGAAACTTTGTGCGGTTGGGGAAGCAAGAGTAAGGTTAGTAAGGAGGGGCTCCCTGTACACATGACTCTGGTGCCATCTTGATAGAAAACTTTTTCATTGAGTGATTCTATCCATAATTTTATATTTTACATTTTTAGGGGAAATCTAGTCCATTAAGTGCCTTTATTAGAATAGCAAGAAATGTCCATTCTATGTGGTTTAAAGATGAACCAACTGTTGAACAAATGGAGGTAGGTAATGTTACGTTATCTGATATTTATAGCGATGATTAACACCAAGATAAATTACGGTAACTAAAATGGTGAATAATGTTGTCAAAATAGTATATATAGTAGAACAGTAACTTTTAAGAGCAGTGTGATAACTCAGGGGTTATGTCAAATAAGCAATAACTAACATGGTCTTGAATTTTCTTTAAGAAAAAAATGTTCTTTGCATTAGGATTTGTCAAATAATTTATGAATTATGTTTTTGTCTGTGACCCATGTTAATCAATAATGTGATATTTAAATAATGTGTTCTAGAGTGAATATTGGAAGATCTTAGATGAAGGTAAAAAACATGTTGTAGTTCAATGTGGTCATGTTAATACTAAAACACAAGGTACAGCCTTTCCTACAAGACATGACAATTCTTATACCAGGTGAAACTTAATATATCTTTACTTATTCATTACATTTCACTTTAAACTGATTAGAAACATATTAGAAGTTGAGTTTTTCAACTGAGAAAGAAGAAAAAATTAAATCATTTTGCATTTTATCAGTAGGCTTAGAAAAAAACGATTTTTAATTCCTGGATTAAAGTATCAAAGCTATGGTCATGAAATTCTAACCTCATAATAATAGATATATTAGACACAAATATTAGCTTCACAGTTTCAAAGTGATTCGACTTATGAAGCTTTTTTTTTTGTCGAAAATGTCTTATGTATTGATAATTGCGAGTTTAACATATAACGATCTTATGATCTACATATGAATTCAATTTATTGTCATATTATTAATTTCATAATGTTTATTTTCAGACATAGTTGGAATTTGAATAATTTACCACAGAATTCTAAATCATTGTTAAAGGTTTTAGGGCCAATTACGGGTAAGTTTACAAAATATTGGTATGCCGAGTTATTGGAAATTCAAAGATAATTTGTGTCAAGATCGAAGACTCATTTATATCATACATACTTAATGTAATAAGAGTAAGAAAACCACGTTTAATTTTCTGATTAAGAAGTTGATAACAAACTAGAGTAAGTAATAATAATTATATAGTTATAATATCTTTCAGGTACAACTATACCTACATTACATATTGGTATGTTATTTGCTACATCTTGTTGGAGTTGTAACCCCCATAATTTACCTTATATACAATATTTACATACTGGTGCTGATATAGTATGGTTAGTATCAATTACTTCAAATATTGTAAAAACTATCAAGTGACTATATTTTTTTACTGAATCTACTTATAAAAAAAATTGATCCCCCATCTGATTACTTAGGCACCAAATTTTTGAAATTTTTCTTGGAGATGAACCCCCAAGACACTCCATGAAAGGGTTGCAACAATGAAGTTTCCACAACACTTCCTGGTTTGGAATCTCAACTTCAACAGTTGTCCCCCTTTAAGTTAGTCTGCCCTCAAATTGTAGTTCAATGAGACTGGTGCGGTCATTGGTTGCAGCATGTTCCAATATTCCCTTCTTAGATACTTTACAATTATACCATAAGATTTCACTGAAACACTGTTATTAATAGTTTCAGTGATTTTTTCCCTGTATATAGACGATACAAAATGCAACTGAGATGTTCTATTTCTAGGTATGCTGTATCAAAACAACATGAATCTAAACTGAAGGAAGCAATGTTAAACTTAACTCCAGATTTAATCAGTGAAGATCCTCAGTGGCTGAAAGAAGATGTTGTAATGGTCAGTATGTTAAATATGTAAATTTTTGATTCATTTTGTGCAGGATCCAGGAAATGTTCCAGGATTATTTTTAAGATTATCAATCTGAACTGGTCGAAGTAATTGGATTCTCTTTTAGTAGCTTAATTATTATTATCAATATTTCCATCACCATAGTTTTGAGTTCGTGATTCTTTGTATGTTCCAGATAAAGCCAGAATTACTATTAGAGAAAGATGTACCAGTTGGTAAATGTATTCAGAAACCACAAGAATTTGTTGTCATATTTAATAAATCATTTACAGCTACTGTTAGTTGTGGTTATAATGTATCTGAATCAGCTCATTATGCTACTACAGATTGGTTACCTCATGGTATACAGGCAGCACAAGTAATTACTATTGCACTTTGGCAGTGTTTCCTTCATTGCACACAACAGGGTGTTGTGGTTTCCTTAAACTTGGTATTTCATTTCATTTTCACTGGTATTAACTACACTATGATATTAATGGTAACTTGTTTCTAACCAGGTAGTGCTTGTTAATCAAAGTCTGCTTTCACTTTTGGAGAATCCAAAGTTAATTCTAATATATTATACTGTACAGATATACAGTCTAAATCATTATGTATTTTAGGATTTAAATGGTAGTTTTGAAAGAGAATTATTTTCTATGGATGCTTTGTTATATAATCTATGTACTAGTGATTCTACAGATAAAGATGTTTTATCTGTGGCCTTTGATTATCTTGAGAAAATTATGTGAGTATTTCTTTTGGTTTGCTGAATTTCTAACATAAAAAAGCAAGTTTTTAAAATTTCATCATTATTTTCACAATCAGCAAATACTTTGAGTCATTCCATTAAACCTTTTTCCCCAAGTTATATTAAGTGAACCATATGGCTTTAGGGTAATGTCACATCAAATAGCACGGAACACTTCCAGTGGCATTAGTATATATCAAAAGAACATGTAACCAATAGATGGTCTCTGGAGTTGAAAAGTTTTAAGTTTGATCTTGATTTCCAATATGTGCTAAAAGAATTAAAATTCGTTATATATATGACAGTACAGAAGAGATTAGTTTAAGAAGACAAGTATATGATAATGGATTAAAGATATTTGAGAGAATGGCGATATGTGATGATATAATGATGTCAACATATCCTAGAAAACGTCAACAAGATTTATTAGAATGTGATGAAAATATCTGTGATATCTCAAAGAAAATTTGTTATTTATCTATGGTAAGATACAAATTTGTTTTCTAACTATCTGACTTCTGTCATGTACAATAGAATTTTACAGAATGTTAAGAACTCATTCTCAGAACTCTTATTTTTGATTAAGTTTTGTTTTCACATTTATAAAGATGTTTGACATGGAACAATTCATATTACTGTACAGTGAATTAAAAATCAATTCCATGTAAATTGCATGATTTTAAATTTTAGGTAATAAATGATGTTGAGAAAACTACTCTATGTTTAAAGGAAGCTTTACAACACCTTGGTAAAAAGAAGAATTTAAAATCATGGAGATTACTATATAGATATACTGATGTAAGATTTCGATTATTTTTCTAGCTTTAATTGTTCTTATCTTAGTTTGAAGTTGACTTTGCTTAAAAATTTGAATAACAACCAGAAACTTGACTGTTGTGGGCATTTTATTTAAGAAATTCAATAATACTAGAATGTGTAATCTCTACTTCAGGAGGAATTAAAGCAAGTTTTAGAAAATACAAAGAAGAAATTGAATGATACCCCAAGTAAAAGAAGAATATCAAGAAAATTTGAATAATATCTGCTATCTGTGTTCAGTTTTGTTATTTCTGTTCTTTTAAAAGCATATTTTAAAATTTTTTTGTTGATGGATGTCATTTGATTTCATTTTTAAGATGGCAGTTCTTTTATGTATTTTATTTTTGTTTTACAGTATCGTTTGGGATTCTTGAAATAAACATTATTGTATGGCAGTATGTATTGTCTTGTAGAGACGTTTGTACATCTTGAGGTCTCAATGCAAACATGAACAGTCCACTATTTTGTGGTAATTTGAATGGTAAAGAAACTATTCTTGAAAAGGTTTGTGAAGTGCAGGGAATGAGGATGTAATTGTTTAACTGAAGTTACATGTAATTAATGTTTTGATATGATTGTTGTTATTAAGAATAACGTTTGTTTGAATGTTTTTATTATGTATGAGTCTCTATGTTATGATAATGTGTCATTTGTAAAACAATTTATTGAGTACAACATCTGCCGTATTAATAATCTATTGCTGAGGGTATTGAAATTTCGAAACGCTTGTTCTAAAAGTATTTTGATATTGTTGCAATTGTTTGACTCCATTTTGTATCTGTTTTTTTTTTTAAGGTAAATGTTTTTAGAATGTTGTTATGTATTTAACTTTTTGATTTTCATTGTAACAAGGGAAGTTACTGTTGGATATTTTTATACTGATTTCATATAATGTTTTTGATTCATTTATTGTAATAATTTATCATAACCATTTCCTACTGATATAGGGCCCAGATTATTGTATGACTTGTTTACTATTCAGTACACTGACAAAATGTCTCAATAAATCATTTTTTAAAAAAATAGTGTAAGCTTATCTATGTACATACTGAGACACTTCCAAACATGAAAACAAACAGTTTATATTTCAGATAGCATAATCATACTAATATAGGTTACCTCTCTCACTTCCTAATTTACCATGATTCCAAATAAACTGATTATGTTTGGAAATGCTTTGACAAAATAAATCACTTAAGCTAATAGCCAAGCAAAGATATTTGTGCACATCTTAGTTGGATTCGAAACTTAACATGAGCAATATATTGGTTTTTGGGGTTTGAATAAAAAGCAATTAAAAGTATGTAATCTAGATTTTGATGTTTTATACTTAAATTTCCTAAAATGAATGTGAATCGGACTGGTATTTGCATAGATATCTTTGCCCAACTAAACCAGTACCAGCTACAATGCTTGCAACTTGATAATATAATAAATCCGCCTTACTGTAAACCTGTGAAAATCTCTTATAGGGAATTTCCTTGTTTATGGGACCATCAGTAATCCATCAATGATGACATTATAGCATTATTCACAAGAATTTTATTTAAGAAATAGTTCAAGTTCTCTCCATTTCAATCTTCACCCTGGAGACTTCATGATTAAAATCCATCTTCAATTCACTAGAGCTGTTCACAATCTAGTATAGTGTTGAATAGTTCAATTTCAGAAATTAGCCATTGTTTTATTGAATTCTTCTAATGATAAGCTATATGTTGAAGAAGATATTCCTTGAATAATGTTATTGGTATCACAGAGTGACCCTCTGAAGAGGCATCAAAATGCTTTTCATTGGTATATCTTGGTGTACCTTTAAGAACACATTAGTCTATTTGTAAAAATATTTACAAAATGAACCTGATTTTAAAACTAATTTATGAAATGAAAGTATTTGAAGCCTAACATAGTTTTATCATGAAAAACAATATTTATATTTCAATTGTACTTATTAAAGGTCTTACAATTTCGTTTCGGATTAATTTATCACTCGTTGAAGGAGTAAACTAAAGAAACCGGCTTCTACAAAATTAGGATTTCTGTGTATATTTTGATTGTCCAGTCTTTCAATCCAATCATCCTTAAATTAACGTCTGGTCAGATTAAGTCTTCATTGATTACACGTCAAAATTTCTGCAAATATACAATCGTGCATCAGTAAATAAACAAAACAACAGTTGAAAGCTAGTGGAACCTGACATATTCAGTCAGATTAGATTCTATCTGCAATTCATTGAAATTTACTGTGGCATTGTAAGTTGTTTCATCTAGCCTTGCTGAGTTGTCAACATTTACTTAAAATTTCCAATATTTGAAAAAATGAATATGTAGGCCTACAACCAACAGTAGGCCTATTTTTATTATAACCACCTAACTATCAATGTCAATCAATGTGTCACAGCAGAGACCTACTTCTGCCCAGGCCAACAATGATCAAATGTTTGAAAACTATAGGGCCTACCTACAACGAAATTTAAAGAAATGTGTCTCTTAATTTATCAGAATGTTTTAACTTTTTAAGTATGGTACCTTATCCTAAAGTTTATAAACTATTTAGGTTTTATGTTTATGTTTAATGTCCCTTCCTTTTTTGATGTTGGAAAACTAATGTATGAATTTTAATTAAAGTTAATACTAAATTTTCAACAAAAAAACTCCAAAACAAGATATTAATTCAGGTTCTTTCAGTAAAAAATAGCATTTAGATAACTTTTCATGTATATTTACAATGTTTCTAATGATAAAAATTTTGCATACTGCCTGTGCCTATGACATAATGTAATTAATGGCGAGGTCTGTTGTCACAAAGGGAATTTTTTAATTGAGATTTGGTTTGATTATGAGGGAATACTAAGCAAGGTAACATATGTTTACATCAACATTGGTTATATCCCACCATCTTTTTGCACCTGTGCATTACCTTGGAATAAAATCTTTTGTATTTCTGTTTCAGTTATTGATAAAAATCAATATGGCTTGAAAGGATTTAGGATATTATGAAAGATAAGAAACTGGCAAGACATCTGATACAAGATGTGGTGGAACCTAAAGCCAGATTAATTAAAAAGTCTGTCTGCTCACGTTCATTTATTACTCAATTAGTCAAAACTGGCTGTTTGGTTTTATTCTATTACTTTTTCTCTATCAGTTTGACTTTCTATAACCAGAGATTTATACATGTAAGTAATTCTTACCTGTTATGATTTTTAGTCCATTTAGTCTTTTATAGAGACTGTTGTAATGTGATTAGTTAATTTTAGATGCTGATCATGCTAAATACATGATGGCACTCTGAAAATTAAATGAATCAGGTGACAGTTGTGGAGTTATAAGATAGAGGTCTATATCTAGATGGGTTTTTACCTCAACTATAATAAAAGAATGGAACTCCTTTTTCTTTTTCTTTTTTTATTAAATTTTCATTATGATGAAAGTATGGTAGAACTACTGTCAAAATAATCATAAGAATTTTACTTTTAATTTCAGTCCTATAAGTATCCATTATCTATCACAATGTGTCATTTGATAGTGAAGTTTGTTATTGCTGGTATATTCCGTTCATTATTACAATGTTATTCTCATACACCCAGAGCCACATTAAACTGGACAGATTATTGGAAAAAAATAGCTCCAACAGGTTAGTGGTTAAAAAAAACTTTTCTTACATTATTGAAAATGCTATTGCTTTTTAATTTAAGTCTCAAATTCCAAATATAGTAGGGATGCTGAAATAGTTCAGTTGTCTGAAGAATGGACAGTTTCAAACTCTGTTGAGAAATTTTAACCTGTTTCAGGTTCTGTTTTAATATTTCTTTATTTCTCTACAACTGATTTTAACAGTGAAAATATGTTATTTAGTCCAGGAGCATTAGCCAAAATTTTGGTCAGAACAAATTGAAGGAACAACTTGGTGATTTCTTCAGTATTTTTGTCCAAAACCTTTCTAAACAACATATCACAAGTCCTGGGTATCCTCCTTGAGCCTTTTGAGAAATTTAAGATGGCATTCAAGATGGCACTTGTAATAAAATTTTTGATATATCTCAGCTTCTAGGCCAGCTAGAATCACAAACTTGGTGTCTATATGTAGGGGTCAAGGAAGTAATTTATGGCATTTATAATAATGTCAGACTAGAATTGGGTAGCCATGTTTTTTTTTTTTTTTTTACGAAGGCATCCACATTAAAAACTACATACAGGTATTTTAAATAAATATCTGTATGCCCGACATTTTAGGGCGACAATCTATTTTTACAAACATGCAGAATATAATTATAAAGTATTCATTAATATTATGTCTTGGTTTTACATCCACCTTCTTTACCAATGTTGATAAATTAGTCTGTTGCAAACTTAATATCAGTTTTTTTCGAGGTAAGGGAGTCATCTGATTTCATCTGTGAATTTGTTGTTAGCTTGTCAGCTTTGTTTCACCTTTGACCCTAATGCTCCTGGATTAATTGTAGATTAGATACTACAAGGACCACTGTTGCAGGTCTTGTAAGTGAGGCAAATCACATCAAATCAGCTGCGATATTTGATGATGCTCAGAGATTATCAATATCCATTCAACGTCCCTATCATATGTTACTACCAGGTTAAAATGTTATTAAGGACATAAAAGCTAATTCCCAAAGTTCTATCATTGATATTTTTTTTTTTTATAGGAATTGCAAGTGTTTTAGATATAGGTTTCTCTAATTGGAGTTTTGAATTTGTTACTGTTTCATTGTGAGTAAATTATCAATATTGTTTTTTTTTTGCTTATTATAGTTATTCTGATCATTTTCCTACTTGTTGACTGGCATAAATGATTAAAGTGATATATTCTATTTTCAATAAATTAAAAATTATCCATTTCATTAAATGACAGTTTCTGCTTCTGTTTTCTAAAGGAAAATTTAAGGTCTTATTAATTCACTTTTTTAAACGGGCAGTATGCAAACTTTTCATTGTCAGAAATGTTGTAAATAATGCCTGAAAATATTTTTAAAAATATGTTCCTACATAGTCTTCCTACAAGTCTTAAACTTGGTCAACAAGTATATATATATTCATCAGTTGGACTCAGTGGCTATGCCAGCCTCTGTAGACTGGAGGTACAAATAGGGGGAAAACTGACTCCATGGGGGGGACAGTTGTCGAGGTTAAGCTAAAAATTCAGCAACACTGTGGAGGCGTCATAGTCGCTAGCCTCTCATTGAGCGTCTGAGAATTTTTGGGGAAAAATTGAATTGATTTGGTACATTCTGATACATATTTTGGGGCAAAGACATAAGCAAATGTTGTTTTTGAATTTGTTAAAATGATAGGGCGATGCCACAGGTTGGACTTACCAAGTACCATTTCTAAAGAATTGAATCTCTTTACAAGATATATATCCATTATACTAAATAATTAATTAAACTCGCTTCGATCAAAAAGCGAATGTACATATAATGCATAACAAACCAGTAGCCTTCTGATGTGCTGAAACTCTTTCTAAAATGAATAATTTTTACCTCATTAAAGTTTCTTTTGATATTCATTATTTAATTGGATAGAATCAATAATTTCCACATATATGCATATTAGAGAAATACCCTGTAATAAAAAAAATGGTCAAACTACAAATTCTGTAAACTAGAAATAGCTGACAGAGGGAATTGAACAATAGCTAAAAAATCTGTATAATTGATATAGTTTGATTGTTTTTGTTTTGCTTTTTCAGGTATACTATGTGTAAATCAACAGCCATCATATTTATTTTATTCTTCAGCATTCTTTTTAAATTAGAAAAATTTGTAAGTGATTTTGAATCTATAATCAATTTTAGTAGTATTTAAAGGGTAGGAGATACTAATTATTCTTTAAAACAGCTGATTCTTATCTTTGAACATTGGAACAGCAGTTTCTCAGTGAGTTAGATTCTTGCTTGCTAACCTGAAGGTCTAGGGTTCAATCCCAGTATAGATCGAGATATTTAGTCCTTTGGATGAGACAAAAAAAATGGAGGTCCAGCATGCTACAAGCTGTGCACTTTAGATATAAGAGAAGGCTAATACCACTGTCCTGACAAAATGTCACTCATTGCAAACTTAGCCCAATCAGGTGCATAAAAATACACTGTTAAACTCCATTCACTTCTTTTCAGTTATGTTTGAGCCTGTTATTGTCTTAAATTGATATAGTGGTCACAGATCACATATATTTACATATTTGCTTAATTTGTTGATTTGCAGAGGTGTAGTTTGTTATTTGTTGTGTTGTTTATATCTGGTGGATTGTTTATGTTTACCTACCATTCCACACAATTTAACCTTGAAGGTTTCTTTATGGTCATGTTAGCTTCTTTCTTATCAGGAGTAAGATGGACTCTGGCACAGTTTATTCTTCAAAAGAAAGAATTAGGTGAGACAATTTTACTGACATGTTGAGCTAAATTGGCTCCTTTGATATTTGTCATCTCAATGAGCAGGAACCATGCTTTGTGTATATGAATAGACAAAAATGATGACAATATACAAAGATACCATAAATCAAATTAAGGAGTTTACAATTTCTTCTTTTAAATAAGTATAGAAACTAGGCTAATGAAGTGATACATATGGAATCAGATGAGAACCAGCAATAACAATAGCTCTAAAAAACAAATTGTGCTTTTTCAGAATTATTGCACCTAATTATAATTGCAGGTTTACAGAATCCTGTAGATATGATGTATCATATACAACCATGGATGATGTTAGGCTTGTTACCATTATCTACTATATTTGAAGGTTAGCATTTTTCATACCCATACTTCTATTGAAACTATGCATTAAAGAATGTTCTCTATTGATGTTAACTAATTTATAAATCTATAGCTTTCTAACATCAAGCACTCAACTAACTTACTTAAGTGAGGTACTAGATAGTTTCGAAATAATTTTAACTGAAAGATGATGCATGCTAAATTGGTGACAAAATTTAAGAAATATTATATATGTATGGGATATGGTGAGGTTGTAACCATAAATGTTTAATTATTTAAAATTGTTTGCTTATGATTTGGTTGTTGAAAAAACAGCTCTATAATCTTTTAGATTATGACATAAATCGGCCAAAATTAAGCGTATGAAACCCTTTAACTTGCTTTCATGTTGTAAATGATATTAATTTTTATCTTTTGTAGGTTTGGACATATCTACAACAAGTCGGCTATTTCGTTATGAAGATACTAGTGTTTTACTAACTTCTATAGGCTTAATAAGTCTTGGAGCAATGTTGGCTTTCTTTCTTGAATTTAGTGAATTTTTATTTTTATCACATACATCCAGTTTAACATTGTCTATATCTGGGATATTTAAGGTATTTATATTGTAATTTATTTTCTCTGTTGATTTAACCATATAATTATTTCCTAGTGTTTATCAGTTCTAAATGGTACATTAGAGTATTTAAACTTCAATACCTTAAGATTTGATTTATTGTGTTCAACATTAGTAACAATAACTCTCATTTAAAAACAAACTAATAGGATATGGTAGAACTATTGAGAAGTAAGTTGAATATATGATGTATAATATTATATTTTCCAGGAAATTTGTACATTATATTTGGCAACACAAATCAATGGTGATAAAATGAATACAGTAAATGTACTAGGTCTATTAATGTGTTTATGTGGTATTACATTACATGTTATTTTACGAGCAGTTTCTAGTAAGTCAACAATTCTCGCCAAGATTTGTCTAGTAAGTGCATGTTGTCATCATTTAGTTTCAAAACTGTTGCATTTACATAAAATTTGTCATTGCTACACATTTAGTCTTTGAAAGCTACCGTACCAGATAAAATGTGGAACATAAAAATAGATTTGATGTGTTTCTGTTAAATCTTATTCAAGATATAGAGCTAAAATTTAGTCATCAAGGAATTTGACCTGTCTTGTCTCTAACATTAAAAAAATGTTGTATTAGGCATTAAGTATATTTTAACCACCCAAATATTGTGTATTGGGGTCACAGATAGCATCAATTTGCACCATTCCAATTTTCAATCATCTGTGGTTCCTGCAATTCCACTAAAAGTAAGTGTTCAATGACATCACTAATCAAGAAGTCCTTATGTAATACAAGCATATTGCAATTAGTGACGTCATCAGACACTTATTTTTTTGGAATTGTAGGAACCACACATCATCAGTGTCTGTGATCACATTTAGAAAACCTTTTTACAATCCCTTTAATGTACTTTATTCAAGTGCAAGTTGTGGATTTTTAAGAAATGGATTTATCTGGTATGGTATCTTATATATATTATATTTCATAAATTTAAATAATATTCCACTATTTTAAGGCTATACTAATTCATTAAAGGCTTATTAAAAAAAAAAAAAATAGATACTTGAATTATAACAGTTTTGAAGCTAATGTAGTGCAGTTCTGGGGAGTTTGTATTTTGTAGGTGTTTTTTTGTTGTTCACTAATGGTCCTCCTTTATCAACGATTTAGCACGCAACTTTGTTTTCAGTCAAATTTATTTTATTATGCTTGTGAAAGGCTTACCAGTGAAATATCAACTTAAGTGATCATAAACAATAAGTAATGTATTGTAAACTTACCTCTCCACAGCTGTTTTGTGTTTTTGTTTTACATTTTTATAGACCCACATCTCTCTATGTGGACGTATATTGTCGGCACCCCCGTCCGTCCGTCAACATTTGCTTGTAAACGCTCTAAAAACTAGATGTATACATATACTTTAAACGAAGATCAAGTTCAAATTTGAGCTTTTTTCGATCGTTAGAAGCAGAATTATTGCCCTTGCCCCAAAATCTTGAATATGCAATTAAAATGGATGTTTCGTTTTTACCATCCGCATGCCATGAAGGGCGTATATAGCTGTGGTCCACTATCTTTGCTTATTTCAATATATCCATTTATTAATTTAGCTTGGTTCTAATCACTAATTTGATTATCTACTATACTTACTTACCTTTGCATGTGAATATTAGTAGGACAAATTCATTTAGATTGAGTATTAAGAGGTGGTTATTTATTATTCAATTAGTATGTTTAATTTGTCATCTGTACAAACTTACACTATTAATTGAAGCCTGTACACTGTAACACAGCTGGTTCCTTTAACCATTTCTTCATATTTGTGCATGTATGAACGTGGGAATGTTTATCAAATATATTATTTGTTGTGGTTCTCCTACACTTGTGATGACTTTGAAACAAATCTTTTGGTTCATTCACTAACTTAACATGGCCTGCGTACGTCAAGATACACCCTGTTTCCCATGTCAGTGGTAGAGGGCTGACTCAGAAAGAGCTTCTAGTCATTTACACAAGACAAGGGTTTTTTCCTTGTGCTACAGGCTGTGCATGCTTAAGGTGCAGCTGACAGTTCAGTTAAAAATCAAAAAGAGTAGTCAGCTGTATGCTGTTTTTCTTCATTAGCCCAATAAGGTGCAAAAAGTAGGATGTAATTTAAGTTTGCTGTATGATTCTATTATAGACAATGAAAAAGAAAAGAAGGCTGCTATTAGTGAAGACTCTATGAATATGTTAACTTTGAATGGTGATGCTAATAATGATGATGATGATGATGAAGAAGATATATTCAACGTAAACCGTGACAGATGATGATTATCATTCTTTAGACTATTGTGGGTTAGGGCTGTATTGTATTTGTTAATTATGCTATAATATGGGCAAGGTGATACAATTTAATGTATCAGTTCATGTAAAACTTTTTCTTAACTCATTCCTATATGCCAGATTTAGAAAGCAGAGATATTTATTCAAAATTGAAATTGTAAGTAACACATGTCCAAGGTTAATGTGCTGATTAAGACTTGCTTAAGTACAACCCAATTTAAAACAAATATACATGCATATAACTAGAGCTATAAATACCAAAGAAGCAGGTCTTTGGGATTTAGTGGAAAAATTAAAAAAAAAATGAATTTTATAGGTAATTTAATGTGCCAATGTCATTTTGGGGCATCTATGTAATTTCAAAACTTTAAGCATACTTCCATGTGCTAATATTGTAGATATTGTTTTTTTCTATGTTTGTCAATAACAAATTGTATCTCTCAATAATCAATATATAATTATTATTTCAAAAGCAAGAAGTTACCCACCTGTATGTCATTTTAATTTTGAAAAACTGATATCAGAATCTATTTAATCTACAAAATAGTCATGATAATCTTGATTGATAAAATCAATGGCACATATCACTTTTAAATTTGTTTTTACTGAACACAAACTCAAGGACATGTTTAAGTAAATTTCTGGAAAGAAGTCATTTTAAGATATTTGTTGATATCTAACTTAATGAAGTGCTTCCATCCATTTAAAAGACTGAAAAATTAAATGATTTTGTTACTATGTTGAATGGTTGAATGTATTTGAAGATATGGGTTATGAAAGTACTGTGAAATCATTAATGTTGTGGAATTCCCACAATTATGCTTCCTTGTGACCTTGAAAATAAAAGATTTCACACTCGATAATTATGTTATTGTTAAATGTTCTACTGTTCTAGACCTCATCAACACAGAGTAGAAACAACAAGGTAATTAAGTGTGGTAATGGGATCTTTAATTTCCAGTTTGCTATTATTGAATCACTGGCATGGAGATTGCAAAAATGCCACAGTTGGCTGTTACTATATATATTTGCCATCACACTAGCTCTCGGTTCTATTGGATTGCGCCAATTCTGTTTTCAATCCTGTCCAGGTCTTTTTGAACTTTTTGAACAATCTTTGTGAAATGCTGTAAGATTGCTATATAAATCTCCACAAATAAATCTGATCTCTTTTCTTTTATACTGAAACAGAACAGCCTGTTCTTAAAATTTTGTTTACATCATATGAAAACTCCCATTTTAGAACATTTCATCTTTATAAAGTGACAAAACTTTAATGTATAAATAAATATGTGCTGAACATTTTAGATCTAGAAAGCATAAGCCTAAATAAGTGAACTTACATTTCATCTGCAAATGTATAAAGGATGTTGATTCAGTTTTTTTTTTCCTTCATGTCAAATTTCTGGCAAAGAACAACAATTTGAAATGAAATACAGTTTTAAAATGATTATTTATTCTTTTAATGTAATAACAAAAACACAAGAAGTCAAAGAAATTGAGCTCTCTCAAAATGTTATAATTAAAATCTATACCAGCAACAGACATCAGAACCCTGTCATTAAAGGGATTATTAAGGTGTTTGCTATATTTTTTAATGTTTATCAGGGACACTGATAGCATCAATTTGCACCATTCTAATTTTCAGTCAATGAATATGGAATTTCTGATTGAAAATTGGTGCTAATTGATGCTGTAAGTGACGTCATCAAACACACCAATTTCATTTTAGAAAAACCCGTGACAATCCCTTGGAGTATAAGGTGTTTTCATAAAACAACTAATGATACATATGAACAGTGTTCATTGGGATATTCGAAAGGTGCTGAATGACATGTAATATTAATACATAAATTGAAAGAAGTAAAGATCTATATTAAGAAATATCACAGATATGCTACTACTCAACAAAACCAAAATCTTTAACATATGCTCCAATGGTCTATATAAATTTCAATAATATTCTAGATGAACTGGACAATTTTGTACTTTGGTATCTGCTGGCATTTATTGTGTAACCAAATAATCATTCTCAACATTAAGAGTATTCTGTTTTTGATAGGGTGCTATAAAATTAACATTTTAGCACAAATTAAGAATACAACACAACTATGATGTTCTAAATGTTAATATGGTTGTTGTTCTGAGCGAATTGAAAAAGTTTTACTATGGACCATGGTAATTTTGTTAAACTTAGTAAGCCAGTAAATAAAATGAGGCTAGCCTAACTGACCATTCTGAGCATTGAGCATAATTAACTCTGATTTATTCTTAAAAAATACAATATTCATTTAAATTCTCAATTCAAAATACAATATTGACTGTTGTCAGACAGGTCATAACTTTAGTGATCAGATTTGATTGATTGTTATTGCAACCAAATTCATAGAAATTAACTAGATAAAAAAAATTTAAGTCACAACCTTTCCTGATACCAGGCCAAAACAATTTTTAATCTTTTTTCAGACTTGTTAAGTCTAATTTTGATAAAAGCTAGAATATTTCAATAATCATTCGTGTTTTTTTTCCCAATGTTCTTTCCATATTCCGCCTCAGAATCAGAATAAACTTTGGAATTCTTTGTTTCTGGACAACTATATGAGTGAGGCAGACACCATATAATTATCTATACACAATCTTTTTTAATTTTAATACTTGCTGATTTGATGATGTAGAGCTTTTCAGTTGCTAGTTTCACAACATAGAATTTAAACAATAATTAGTCAATTTATTGATATCTGTTTCACTCGCGTGATTGTTTAACACAGACAATATTTGAGTTTCTTGATCTTTCTCACCAAACACAATTTTTAATTGCTCAAAGAGTTGCCTTGTTTCTATTTCTAAACGAGCATGTCTTTTTTTATCGTGTTCAGTTGATTCTTGGTTAGACTCCCTTCGCGACTGTGTTGCAGAGAAATTTGGTGTTTGATTTCTTGGAATTTGAGCCGGTGGTCTTTCGTATCGTTCTGTTTGACTTCTTGTGTTTTCACGTCTAGAATAGACGTATAAAGAAACATATTTACACTAAATGAAATTAAAAGAGAAATAGCACTTCTTGGCTGGCATGAGATATCTTCTTCAGCAATCCTTTATATTCTTCATATATACACATAAATAAGATTTCTGTTCATGATTGTGTTAATGGCTAGTAAAGTTGAATGAATGATGATACGATGAGAGTAAAAGACTAGCGTAAGGGAGTATATATAAGCTGAAGGTAGAGTTTATGAAAGAGCAACATCTAACAACAGACAGTGTATTTACCTCCTATAATAATGATTATCTGTGCTAAAACACGGTTGTTGGTAATTATGGTAATTATATGGATTATTCTTGTGATGATGATATTGTTGGTTATAATTCTGATAATGTTGTTGTCTTGGATTATTATATTGTTGAGCTTGGTTATAATGATGAGTGTATGGATTAACTTGTCGCAAATTATGTTCTGGAAACAGTGGCCTAGGCCTGGGTACAGGTTTAACTAAAATATCATCCAAAGATCGTCCATGCTGTCCATAGGGATCCTCAGGTAACATAAAATTATCCCCAACAAACACATACGGTATACATCTGAAAAACCAATATTTCACTTATATGAAGGACAGATTTTATACCAAATTTCTACAAGAAACAGAACTTTATAATGTATTTTTAAAAAGTGATTTATTCATCAACAATATACAAACCTTTCTTCTAACAATCTTCTATAACTAGCTTTATCTTTGAAGAAATCTCGATACTGATCATTAGATATAATAACTCCATCTTCTTTATCAGCTAAATCTAATATAAACCTACAAAAACAAAATAGAACTCGTACATCAATTTAGAGCAGTATATTAATGTGTACAAGGTTCTATTTCTAAGCCTACAATATAGTATCATTCTATTGTTAATACAGCTCGTTTACTTTAAATTTTATTTAAAAACAATGTGTATCAAAAAAGCATCAAATCACTACAGAAACTAGGTAAACTAATTATCCTTAAGTAGTCTTACCTCATTTCTGGATGGTTTAATATAATATCATGGTATATCAGTTTACACTCCAAAATTTTCATTACATTTCATGTTCTCTTATCTTCCACTCCGATATAATACAAATATACTTAATGCACTACAGAAATGTAATTAGTTGAAGCATATTTTTATGATTCCATGCAAAAATTATAACTGGATTGATTTAATACCTGTCATCATAACTAGCTACTCGCTGACCACTTGGTAGCTGTTTATGTGGTGTAAAAGCTAAATAACCTTCTGTCTTCAATTTTTCAAGAATTTCCTGATTCCTAATAGGATTAGCAGCAGTTCCTTTCTTTTGTCTCCATCCAGGTACAAATACTGTAATCTTATTATGCCCTCTTTGCAGAAAATGTTCCACACAAAGTTTTATACCTTGACAAGAAAATACAGATCCATTTCCATGACTAAAAAAGGAATCAAAATATGTTTTGGAAAAGTAATTAAGTTTGAAAAATCGTTCTAAATTACTTTTAACTGAGCTTTAAATATCTAGCACACATTAATTCAGAACAAATCTAACAAGATACCAGTATCTACAAACTTCTTTAAATCAATATAATAAAAATAAAGCTGTCTTACGCCCTAGCTACATTGCTTCCATCAACAACAACATAACGAAGATCACCATTTTTCTTTACTGCTTTAGGCAAATTATCTTTTATGTTTGTGACCAGTGTGCCACTTTTCTCTTTTCCACTGTTCTCTTTCCCATCTGGGCTGGTTTTATCCCATCGAGTTGGTCTTGTGCGAATTTTTGAAGATTGTCCATCGCTATTGTCAGCAGTTTTGTCAGCAGTTTTCACAGGCTGACTATCTTTAGTGGCAGGAGTAGTGTTTGCTGTAGATGAGGAAATAGCTGTAGTTTTTTGACTAGTTTTAGGAATAGCACCAGATGATGGTGAGGGTTGGTTCCAAATAGTCATCAGAGCTGTTTGGTCTGTATCTTTTTTCTTTTCTCCTGTACTATTTCTACTTCTTTGACGGGTTGGAAGACTGTCAAGTCTTTTTATTTCTTCTTCATCTTGAATTTCAATAACACTCACATCATTTGGGTTTTGTGATGTATCTTGTTCTTTCTGTCTTGTGTTTGATGGACTTATACCTACAAACACTACATCATCATCTTCATTTTTGTTCTTCTTTGGGAGTAATCCTAACTCACGTTTTCTTTCACGTATTTTATCCAACATTGGTAAGAATTCATTTGGCTTAATATCACCAGCACTGGGAACATATAATAATCCTTCTTCAATTTCTTCATATGAATAACCTGCAGATTCAGCAATCTTTTTTAAGTCAACAAATCTTTTGTCGGATGTGTCGTTGTCCCATACACGTTTGGTTTGTCGAGTTTCTATTCCTGATCCTGAAGCTTCCGATACAGGTATTTTTGATCCTCTGGTATTTGATGTTTTAGGTTTGACATTGGTAGGTGTCAATGCATGTGCACCAGCTGTTTTTTCAATTAAGACCTCATCATGTATGTTTTCAAGTGTTGTATCATGAAGAATAGAGTCTAACATTGCTCGTTTCACATTACTGGGTACTGATTCAAAGTCATCCAAATCACCATCTAAATGATCAATATGAGATAAAGTTTCACGAAGAACATTATCGAGTCTTCTTGAGCAAGACTCTTTTTCAGCAGTTGATTCCAGTTTGGCGCCCAATAGCTCTTCTAATGATGATAAAGCTAATGTAACAGACAAGATTGAACCAGATATTTCTATTTTATCACTTTCTTTCTCTTCAATGACTGTTCTTGTGTTCTTTTCAATACCAGCAAAGATTTCATACTTGAGACCAACATCATCACATGGACAACAAACAGTGGCTGATTCTTCTGGATAACATAAAGCATTGACATAATCCTGCAATAAGAAAGGATAGTGTAAAATAGATCAAAAAATGCTAGCATCAGTTGTCTCCGAGAAGTTAGTTTTACAGTAGGCCTACAAACAGTAGGCTACCCTTTTTGTAAATGTTTAAATTTTTAAATTCAAATAATTAATATTTCTGCTAGGAAGTCTTTAGTTCAAATAAACACAAATGTTATTCTGACAAATAGGCCTAGAAATATGACATTTAACAAAAAACCAGATCTATCTACCACTGACAGAGGTAGGTCTGTGAGTGCTTCTAATCTAATTCTAAGAGTGGAACTATACTTAAAGATAGGTTCCCTCATTTTCATTTATGAAAATCAAAATGCTAATTATATGAGAATAGAAAGTAGAGGAGTTCTAATGACTTGGAAAAATACCAGTTTGTCTCACATGTCCATAATTAATTCATAATTTGCTAAATTAGAAGAGAATTATCAGCAGAATTCCAATGAGTGACCAATCAAAAAAGGTCAAAAAGTCTTTTTTTGTTTATCCAGAATGTACAGTCAAGTAACCTAATTTCGAGGAAACCTATTATTCGTGGATTTCCGGAAAGGATTAATAATTTACATGAGCGACCTTGCGCGACCTCCGCATTAGTTTGTTTTGATAAACATGGGTTTTCTCTACAATATCAGCTAGTAGAATGAATTCAGTAGTTTCAAGCAAGGTAAAATGTATTAATCTATACTTTGACAAATACAAAATGGCAGATTTAAGTTATTACTAAACGTAACCATTTTTTATTGGCCATTAAAGTGGACCATTTTCTTATATTGTTTCAGTGACTTTTAGCAATAAATCACGCTACGTATCTTATTTTGTCAGCCACTATTTTTTTTTTTAAATCGTGGTTCTTTCAAGGAATTGTCACCAGTTATAATGAATTGATATTAAAGATATATACTAAGAGAAGTTAATTATACCACTCAGTATCCATACAACGTGTTTTTCTAGACTTATTTATAGATCAAACATTGTACACGAAAATACGTGACGCATTCTGCCACCGTTACCGAGTTGGTTGCTCATGAAATATGGGTCAAAGTGAAGGATTAATAAATAAAATCGAAACAAACCAATTTTAATTATTTTGTAGAATATCTGAGGAAACATCTAAGACATAAAAAAAAAATTTGTTTTTTTAACTTTGACGAAATTCGGTGTTGAATCCTTATATCCACGAAAATAAGTTACACCACTGTACATACATGGACATAGATTAATACATTGCTTTAAACTACTGAATTCATTCTACTAGCTGATATTGTACAGAAAACCCATGTTTATTAAATCAAACTAATGCGCAAGGTCGCTCATGTAAATTATTAAACATTTCCGGGAATCCAGAATAATAGGTTTCCACGAAATTAGGTTACTTGACTGTATGTTACAAAAAGCCTGACAGTGACAAGACAATACAAATTAAAGTTATTTCTACCTTGGTATCCTGGCAATCACAGCTTTTACCCTCAACTGACAACCATTGTTTATTACAGGTCTGTTCATCTTCATCAAACTTGATATCAACATCAAATATTCCCTCTATTTTCTGTTCACTTTTTTCAACTGCCTCTTTCTTGTTTTTGTCAATCGTAAAATATATTTTAGTAAGAGTGTTATCATTATCATCAGCCATCATTTACACCTAAACAAGACAGAAAGTTAGTCAAAATGAGTCAATTTCTAAATTACATCAGAATAGTCTTAGAAAATTCCCATAATGCAAACGAATAATTTCAAAAGTGAAAGTGAAAAGTTTGGAAAAATTGCGATCAAAATCTAATACACCTTCGTTACCTAAACGCTGAAGAACAGATCGAAGGGAGGCAATTCTTCGTGGCATCAGACAACAGATCATTTTTAGTTGTTGTAGAGTTGCATCTTCGTTGACGCCACTGAAGATCCAATTCTTCGGCGAAATTTTTTTTTTCTAAATCAAGAGCAATCCACAGACAATAAGTTCACATTTAATTCAATGCACAATGTGTGATGATGATTATAGCCATCAAATTCCCATTTAAGAGGATTGTAATATAGACGATAGTGATAGGACAGACAAATACAAAGGTTACACACAAATATCACGTTGGCAAATGCCAAATCAAATATTCTGTCAAATAAAACATTTCCTCACCATACAATGTTAGTGAATTTAGGATACTCTTTATTGAATATTGACTTGTATTTTCAGATCATTTTTAAGAGTAGGTCTGTTTTTGACAACTTATGACCCTTATGGACATAATTTCACTGAATATGATTTAAAGGAGACTTTTGCAAAATGGCAAGCATAAAAACCCTAAAAGAAACATCCATATTCAGATTGAATTGCTCACACAACTCATGATAATGTCAATTTAAACCCCAAAAATTCAAATCTTTTTAAGATTATTATAATATGTGAAGTATTATTTTAATAATCATGATAATAACAATAAAATCAACAAAAACATAGAAGACACATAGACTATAATTTTTTTTAAAAAGATATTGTAAAGGAAATGAGACAAAAGCTATCCCCAATATAATGACTACTATAAAATTCTAGAGATATAAAAAGCAAGTGGAATATTTGTTGAGGAATGTGAATACAATTTAAATATAATACATTATGAAAGTGTCCAAGTGATAAATTACAGACACACGTGATTAAGTCAACTACTGATTAAACAGAATAATAAAGTCATATTTGATGATACAAAATATAAAATTCTTACATGGAATACAATGTATTATATTACAATTACAAAATAATCAAGTTTTAAGTCGAGTGAATAGAATAAATAATCAAGTTTTAAATAGAGTGAATAGAATAGATATTGTTATGTTGGAGAATAGGGTGTTGTTGACTTGATGACTTCTCCATTCAACCGTTCAGTGATTTCTATTGACACTTGACCTTCACAAGACCAACCTATGTAAGCCCTAGTTACAGGTCCCTAGATAATCACCACACTTCTTTAGATAAAACTATGAAATCAATGGGATTAGGGTCAATCAGTTAGTTTCTACAACAATGATCTATACTGTTTACAATAATTTGAAGAATGAATATTGTCGTTATACCTTTTCTAAACTAAAACCTACTACTAAAATACATGCAAATAACAAATCTTTGGTTTGAAAAATTAATCAGCAAATCAAATCAGAGTCAATTAATTACCTCAATAGAAAATAACGAACCTAATAATACCTATTTATAACAGATGTTTCTAAATGCACTTTGCTCCTTTTCTGTGCTAACAAGGTTTTCATATAAAATAATTGTTCCATTCATTACACTCATTCATAATAGTTTCATAACACTATGTAGTTTTGTGATTAAACAATAAAATAAGAATAAACAATATTAATTCTTAAACATTATTAAGTAGATAAAATGCTAAATGTAATGGTTTTGATTTAAAGAGACATATCACAGCTAAAACTTTCCTCTTACACCATCACAATCTGAATATAATACAGCTCTAGTTATTTTTTTGAACTAGTGACTCATGTGAGGAACTGAAAATATTATAAG